CAAGTCATATTGTACCAGCTGCAGGGCTGCTAGAGCAACAAGAAGGGCCGTCCCGATGGCTCAGTGTAGCAGCTCGGGTTCCTCTAGAAGAAGCCAAACAAGATTGCGGACCAGACTTGCATATGCGCCGGGATTTCAACAAAGCAGCATAGGGACTCGCAAGTCATGTGCAAACGGGTTTTCTCCAGTCCAGTTCCTGTGCAGTGTCATTGCACTTCCCGCAATTCCGACTCTTTCTACCCTGATGCGAGCTCTTGTTCAGGATGGCATTGAAGCGGCGTGTAATTATTCGCCCAACTGGGGCGATGACGAGCTTCTCTGCGCAGACTAAGCCTCCCAAAGTGCTCTTTCTGATACCCTGCTGCCGCCACTGAGGATCTCTGGCGGGCTTGTTGAAGTGTCTTCTTTGCGGTAGGCTTACACGGCTCGCCCCATCCTTTCGAGGGATGCCGCTGGCGTCTTGGCGCACTCTCCGATGCCTCCTCTAACAGCATGGATATGCCGATGTACCGCTGGTGTGCGAGGAAGTTTTGGCTGCCGACCTTGCGTGTGTTTGCCGCCGTTCGGGGGCGCTCAGAGAGGCCTTCGCAGCGCGGTATGTTCTCGTTGCGGGATGTTCTCCTCGCAGGACATTCTTCTCGTAGGATGTTCTCCTCGCAGAATGTTCTCATCGCATAGGGTTCTTATTGCAGGGGGTTCTTATCGCTAGAGCTTCCCGTCGCTGGAGCTTCTCATTGCTAGAGCTTCTCGTCGTAGGATGTTCTCATTGCAGGATATTTCTAGTCGCAGGATCTTCTAGTCGTAGGATCTTCTTATTATGAGGACGTTCTCGTTGTAGGAGGTTCTCATTGCAGGAGGTTCTTGTCGTGAGGGAGTGTTATCGCTGCCCCAATCTGCATCCTATCCAGCGAAAGTCTAGGGCTCGGAGTTCGTGCGGAGAAGGGGGTTGTGGATGGCGCAGGCTCGTCACGACCGCGGTAGTCGTGTTGGCACTATCGTTCAAGGTGGCCTACGATGGTTAGCTGGTAGCAATGCTGTGCTTCACATTGTAGCCCTCGGCACAAAGGCTAGGGCTTGGGCTTCGTGCCGGAAAGGGGGTTATGGATGGCGCACGCTCACCGCGACCGCGGTAGTCGTGTCGGCAGAATCGTTCGAGGAAGGCCTACACATGGTTAGCTGGCGGCAACGCTGTACTTCATGTCGTCGCCCTCGTCGCCTGAAGTTCTCGTCGAAGGATGTCCTAATCGAAGGATGTCCTCGTCGTAAGAGACTGTTATCGCTGCCTCTATATGCCCCTGCCCAGCGAAACGCTGGGAGGTTTAGAGGTCGTACGGAGAAGGGGGTTGTCGAAGGCGCAGGCTCGCGACGACCGTGGTAATCGTGTCGGCACAATCGTTCAAGGAGGACCTACACATGGTTAGCTGGCGGCAATGATGTACTTCATGTCGTCGCCCCCGTCGCATGATGTTCTCGTCGTAAGGGACTGTTGAGCTGCCTCTATATGCCTCTGCTTATCGAAACGCGGGGGGCTTGGAGGTCGTGCGGAGAAGGGGGGTCTCGACCGCGCAGCTTCGCGACGCGCGGTAGTCATGTCGGCACCATCGTGTAAGGAGGGCCTACACATGGTTAGCTGGCGGCAACGCTGTACCTCATGTCGTCGCCTCCGTCGCATGATGTTCTCGTCGAAAGATATCCTCGTCGTAAGAGACCGTTATCACTGCCCTATATGCCTCTGCCCAGCGAAACGCTGGGAGCTTGGAGGTCGTACGGAGAAGGGGGTTGTCGATGGCGCAGCTTCGCGACGCGGCAGTCGTGTCGACACCAATTTTCAATGAGGGCCTACACATGGTTATCTGGCGGCAACGCATGTCGTCGTCCTCGTCGCAAGAGAATATTGAGCTGCCCCTATATGCCCCTGCCCAGCGAAACGCTGGGAGCTTGGAAATCGTACGGAGAAGGGGTTGGTCGACGGCGCCGCCTCGCCACGACCGCGATAGTCGTGTCGGATCGTTCACGGAGGGCCTACACATGGTTAGCTGGCGGCAACGCTGTACTTCATGGCGTCGCCCTCGCCGCGAGCATCAGTTTTGTGCTCGAGTGTTTTGCGGTTTGATAGGCGCGACGCAAGAACCTACCGTCGAGGCTGTCGCGAAGCTGGGTCCGTTCGAGACCCAGAAAACGACGGCCGTGGATTGTTCAGCGAAGGGCGAGCTGCGAGAAGGCATCCTGCTGCAGGCCACGCAGCTGTTTTACGTGTCTGATCGAGCGTACAATGTTGGCGGGCGTGGGGTTGGCGTTAGGACGCGGATGGTGTGAGAGACAGTGGTTGTGGGGACGAGGAGAATGGCCATGGTGGACCCTCGACCTTCACCAGCTCCTCATGCCATGGCGCTCTACCCTCTGTAGCATGGCTGCGTCATGCTCGAGTACCGGACCAGAGTCAAGACTCGGTCAATGAGCGTAGGAAACTCGATCAGGCACTCGAACAAGTCGTTTCATGCAACAACGACTCAGAGTTTTGCCTGCGGGAGCTCAGAGAGGGGGCAGCTGCGAAGCCGTCTCTCGCCATCGTGCCGCCATCGTGCCGCCATCGTGCCTACTCCTCACGTCCCACGACAAACAACGAGACCCGCCAATGGCAACCACTGCTCCGGCTCTCTCCCTCCCCCTATACCGATTTGCGGCTTGCCAATACGCTTTTTTTCCTCTCCTCCTTCTTTTCGGCCTACGAACAGCCAGCGAGCGTGCGACGGTGCTGGGCAGCATGGCCAAGACTCGGTCAACAAGCGTACTACACTCGAGCAGATCGTTCCATGCAACGACTCAGAGCTTTGCCTCCGAGGAAGCTCAGAAAAGGGGCACCTTTAAAGCTAGCTCTTGCCAGAATGCCATCGTGCCTACTCCTCACGGTCCCATGACAGACACAAGGCCCGCCAAAGGCAACGACTGCTCTGGCTGTCCGCCTCCTTCTCCCTGTCTCTCGCTACATCGGTCTTCGTCTCTGCCGATACGCATTTTTCTCTCCTCCTATTGACGGCCTACCTAAACACGCGACCAGCGAGTGCGCGACGATGATAGGCAGCATAACATGGCGTCGGTGCAGGCGACGTTCACGATGTCAGAAATCTTCTGTGGGGGCTCAAGCGCATCATTCCCCACATCGGTAAGGCTTCCGCGCGCCATCAGCCACTACGACATGTGGAACGTACGCCCAACTGCTTGCTCCACTCTTTTCAAGCTTACTTTTACCTACACGATACCTCGAGGGAGCAACTGATACAATTTCATGACAATCAAGTGCTTGTGCTTCATGCAGGTCGTTCGCGTCTACAACACTCAGCAAGACGATCGAAGTTTGCCCGGCAAGCGAACGCGAAGGATCCTTCAGCGTGCGCACGGGAACGATCCTCCAGCATGCGACACCACGGTGCGCAAGACTTCAGTCTTCGGAGGTCGTAGGATATCAACAATGCCAAAGTCACGCATCGAACGGTGCGCAAGATTGAGTGAGCACCTTCAACAATCTATGCCCATGCGCAATGTACAGACCCATTCTAGATGCTGCGCAAAGCTTTAGCGCCAAGACGGGGTGTGGAATGGCTACGATCAACGGAGGAAGTGGAGAAGAACGGTGCGAACGGAGGATGTTGCAAGAGCCTAAGCAATCGTCGCCTATACAAAAGGTGGAGGAGAGCGATCGTGTGTAGCACACGAACGAGACGTTATGCACCATATCAACGGCGCCTAGAATGATCGCTCTCTCGTTGCACAAGATTACAGCCGCAACCCAATCCAGCATCTGATCCTGGTCTTAGCTGCATCCCGAACCGAAACCGACATGCCGGCCAGCACACCATCACCGCTACCCCTGCGCTCATCGCTCGCTCCTGCGCCTTGAAACTGCATGCTGCAACTAGCACTCCGGTCTTCTTATCTCTACGCTTCCTCCTGGCAAATCACACCGGCTTTCGATGCAGCCCAAGCGCAGCACGCAAGTATTGAAACTTTGGCGATTTATCGAATCTGCATGTTATCGGCGTAGAAATGTGCAGAACGGGGGGACGCACAAGGCAACGCTTGGCGAGCGACCTTGGAAGTGCTCGTATCGCACCTGCACAGTTCCGAGCTAGGGCGTTCGAGAACGATGCGACACACCTCAACGTGGAAGGAGACAACGGTGAAGCCTTGAAACCTGCAGGATACACGTGCGTGGTGCTATTTTCAGGTCCAAGCTCCCTGTTCGAGACAGATGGTTCAGAAGTGTGCCGCGGGCGGTCACATCGCGTCGCAGGAATACGAGGTCGCTTCTGGCGGCAGGATGGGCATGCGACGGCTCCAGACCACCCACAGTCGGGTTCACAACACCGAGTATCTGGAACGGGATATCGATCAAGGCACACGGTGGAGGATTTTCGTGTTTGGGGGTGGGAGTACGGTAATAAGGCGCGATTACGAGCATGCTGTTTGAGAGTAAGGGCGCCACATTGGCTACGTTGTCCAGCCTTGTTGCAACCACCAGCGATAAGAACTTGAGACAGAAAATGTATCTCCCCATAATTTGCAGTTTCGAGAAATCTGTGGATTATCGAAAGAGGCTGGCAGCCACAGGGTGAGAAGTTGAGATAGAGAATGCATCTCGCCATAATTTGCTGTTTCAGGAAGTGCGATACAGAAAAGGCTCTCAGCTTGTGGCTAGCGATGAATTGCTGTTTCGAGGAATTGCGCAATATTGGGAGAGGCTGGTAGCCACAGGGGGAGAACAGACTGCGATACTGTTTGGGTCTGACATCGAGGAAGCAAACGCAACATGGTCGATGAGGCACTCGGAAAAGAGCAAACAGCACGAAGACTCCGCTCAGCTTCCTCCTGGCGCAAGAGACAACACCAAATATCCCATGCAATTATGTATCTAGCATTCATAAGTACAAACATTAAACACAAAACATTACCCAATGCCCCACCTCCTATGTATCCGTTCTATATTCACAACCAACCTCTACCTACACCCCCGGAAGCTTGAACCCTCCCTGAGCCGGCCAGTTCCCCAATTGCGCCGGATCCCCTTCAATCCTCACCCACACCGCCTTACTCGGCACGCCTGTCGCACTCAGCGCGTACAGCTGGAACCACCCCGGCGGACACGTGTACTTGTCCGGCGGCGCCGTAACAGTGCACGATGTACCGCTGCACGCAAAGGCTGGGAACAGCGTACGCTGCCCCATGCTGTTCCCGTGCGTGGACCCCGTTGCGCCGAGAAGAGATACCCGGGCGATGGGCTGGTCAACAGTAAACGTGTAAGTCCCGCTATACACCCAGTCCGACTGTGCTGAAGGGAGTGTAACGACGGGTTGTACGGGGCTACCCATGAGGTACGGCGGGATGAACACCTCTACGCGGTACTCCTGCGGGAAGCGGTCGTCTTCGGGGTCGGATCCCGAAACCAGAACGCGGCCGTCGTCCATGAGGATGGCTTCGGAGTGGTACATGCGGGCGACGGTTGTGTTTGCCAGGACGGTGAAGCGGTTGTTTAGGGGGAGCGTGGGGTCGTAGAGGACGGCGTTGAGGTTGGGGTCGGAGCCCTGGCCGAAGCCGGCTTGGCCTTGGTGGGCGCCGTTGAGGATGAGGTAGGTGCCGTCTGGGAGGGCGACCATGCAGGACATTACGCGCTTGGAGGGCTGCTCGGTGTTACTTTGAGATGGTTGTGAAGAAGGGGGGGTGGACGGGCTTACCATGCGTTCGAGTGTCCAGTTTGCGTTCGGGACGTCTGGGGCTATGGTCACGCAATTGTCGAGCGCGAACCCTTGGTAAGGCGTTGAACCACCGCAGATGAGAACTTTGAGCGGAGCTGTGTATGGCGCAGTCTGTGGTAATAGGACGGCAGTGCCCTCATTGGGATACGTTCTCCCCCCGTCCGGTCTGTTCACGGCGGCAGGAACGTTGGGTAGTTGCTGCTTGACCTGTAAAGTGACTTCGTCGAGTATGGCGGCTTCGTTGTAATACTGTATGAAGATGCCGCCGCTGGGCAAGACCGCTAGGAAAGGGTACAGATTGTTGGGATCCGTGCGCCTCAGGTAGTCGGCGTATACCACAGGCCCCTGTGTTGGTAAGATTTCCAGTGTAGGAATCGCGGCTCCATTTGACCCTTCTTCGCCACCAACAACTAGAATGGTACCATTTGCCATGATCATTGCAGTCGGATACCATCTTCCATTCTGTAGCTTAAGCACCTTTACGTTCTCCTGCCAGTCATTCTGTCCCCAGTGGCCAGGAGAGCCATCTGGCCAGTAAAGGCGAACCCCATAAGTGGCATCTAGAGCCCATCCTCCGACATTGAGCTGACGACCTGCTTTATCCGGTAATGTAAGAGAAGCGGAGCAGAAGACATCGGTCTTTACATGCATCGGTCGCCAGGCGCCGGTGAAATTATTAAGCTGGGCGATGTCTAGTTCGTAGGCACCGGTCGAGTTTGGAGGTCCTGTTCCGGATTTTTCGAGGAAAGTAACCTTGCCGTTTCGCGCAGCTTGAGTGACAAGAGGGACAACTACGCCGCCAATCAAGAATTGGTATGCTCCCGCAGCATTTCCGGATGCGTAATTCCATTTAGCAAGATTTGGACCCGTCCACTTGTACAGCGAAAGACGACGGGATCCTCCACAAAGCGTTGTCGCATTTCCCGAGCAAAATACTGAGCAATCCGACTCAGGAGCGCTAGCAGCATTTGCGGTTTGGATATCCCCCAAGTCACCGCACTGGATTCGGTCAGTCGATGACGGACGTAGGAACTAGGTTGGGGCTTACATAGCACTCGTTGCCGTATTCGAGTCCGCCATAAGCATACCCAAAGGCGGAGCATTGACTAATACAGTTGTTCGCTGTGTTGTTGTTGTTCAAAATAAGCTGGTAGGGAAGCGCCCTCACGCCGCCTGGAGCGTCGTCACTAAGGCATCCAACGTACTGCCAATTGTTGGGTAATCCAGTCGTTTGCACTTTTGGAACGGCGTATACGGTGAGGTTAGCAGTACTGTTAGAGTAGACACTCAGTCTGTTGCCGTCTCCACAGAATTCTTTGGCGTTCCCGGCACAAGGCATGTTGCAGTCTGATTGCTGTCCCATAGCGGCTCCGTTCGAAAGATAATTCCCGCAAGAACATTGGGAAGCATATTCAATACCTGCCACTCCAAACCCGTTAGCTGTACAGTTTCCGATGCACCTTTCGACGGTCATGTCGTTGGCTTCCGGTAGTTGAGTGGCGAAGACTCGCCCATTTGCGTTGTCGATCCAGCATCCTTTATAGTGCCAACCGACAGGGAGAGGTGTAGGAACTCCAGTCACTGTAGGCGCAGAGCTCGTAGAACTTAGCGAAATTGACGTAGAAGATGTGTTTAGACCAGATTTTGATGTTATCGTTGATGTTGCTATTGTAGAAAACGTTGATGTATCAGTAGATATGATGGTGGAAGAGCTCACTACCCCCTCAGATGACGTCGAATTCGTCATAATCGTAAGTTCTACAGACGATGGCGAGCTCATCACAGCAGTCGAAGAGGGAGCTGAAGAGCTGATCGGGGCTGCAGACGTTGCGGAAGAGCTCATGGTGAGAGTAGAAGAAACCGGAAAACTTGATGACAAGCTGAGGGCTGTGCCCCACGAAATAGTTGAAACTTCCGGTGCAGAAGATGAAGATACCACCGACGATGTGATTGATGATGTAGGCGCCATTACCGAGCTTGATGGCGATGCTGTAGAAGATGCAGATGAAACAACCGAAGATGAGCTTTGGACAATACTTTCAGACGTTGAAGAAGGCGTAAGAGAAGACACCACTGTCGACATTGATATGGTCGACATCTCGATGGAGGATAGTGAGCTCGAGCTTGGTGGAGGCGAATTTGTGTACAAATTCAGTCTGTCCGGCCCGCCACAGTATTCTGTTTGATTGCCGTTACAAAGCTGTTCGGGTTAGCTTTCGAACCAGCAAATTTTGTTAGAGTCTGTTTGAAGGATTTTGAGCAGATGACGATTGCCGCATTAAGTCGCTTACCGTGTTGCAAGTATCTTGATCTAACGCTATTGCTGCCCCATTGTGCAGGGAATTACCACACCCTGTAGGAGGCAATCAGTCTTTGGTCCTCAGTATGTTCTCAGATAAAGAAACAGTCTTACAGCATTCTCCGTAGTACTCCAGGCCCGCATATGCGTAACCGCCGCTAGAACAAGCAGATACGCAGTTTGCGACTGTGCTGTTTTGGTAGCCACCAGGAAAGGTACCTGAGACTTCTCTATCGAGTGTTCTTCCAGCCCCATCATCACTGTCGCGGTTTGTTAGCACAAGAACAAGATTTAGCCGTAACGTGGGTAAGAGCAAGGCACTTGCGGATGAAAGATTTAAATTGCCAACAGATTAAGTTTGAATGATGCTCTGAGGCATGGTCATCTGACAAAGGGGGCTGGAACATAGATGGCACATACGTATAGCAACCAAGACTTCGGTAGCCATTCAAGCCAGGATTGACGTAAGGCGGTCCTTGACTAGTAACGGTGTTGTTGAAGACTGTCAGTCGGTTGGGTCCTCCGCAGGCTTCTTTCGAATTACCTGATGATCTTTAGTGCAAGTCACACAGCTAGTCGGGGTAATACATACCGCTGCAGCCATAATTACAGTCCGCATCTTCGGTTAACTTTGCCGCAGTGCTTAGTTTACGCCCACAATAGCATTCCTGAGAGTATTCCGTGCCTGCGAAAGCATATCCACCTTTTGAACAGAAGTCTATACAATTAAAGTTGGTCATGTTGCTGCTGGTTGTGCTGGCATCGTTCAATGAACGAGTTCCGATATCCCTACGTCATATAAGTTGTAATGTTCAGTACCACCTATGGCAAGGCATACGTGTAGCATCCTGTGTAGCCCCAGTCGTCCAGAGGGGACGTTGGGACAACTAAGGATTGTGAAAGCGACGAACAGGCCTAACACGATGTTGTCAGTTTTTCCCATGCGAAATGCTTGCTCGATTATCAGGTTCATACATATGAAAGTAGTAGTATGGCCCACGAGCTCGTTCGATGGCTGCCAGAGCCCATGATGAGTTCAAAGACGGAGTAGGTCGCGAATGACGATCATGAAAGCAGTAACAATAAGATATTCCCTCAAAGAGCGCTGATTATAGCTATCCACACGGCTGCACACGAGGTTTACCGATGACACCAAGCTCTAGCTGAAGACTTGCAGTTCGGCTCTCGTGGCTGATCGACCACACCGTCTGCTTTGGGGAGCACGGGCTGGGCTATTGCGTGTGAGAGTCCGTAAGCTTGTCAAACAGTGGCGAGCCATTAGTGTGTGATTTTGCGCCCATTGTGGAGTAGGCCATGGAGTCTGCGAATCTCGTGAGATCCAACACCTTGAAGTGGATATGCTCGGCTGATGACTATCGACTTCATAGGCTGAACGGACCATGCCAGCTGGAAGGGGCCTATGGTGATCATGCATGATGTGCAGATACGAATTTTAACGATGCAGGGTGTGTTCGGCATAGGGCGAATTGGCGCCAAGTGGGTGTCGGTGAAGGACGGGAATAGCGGCTGAGGTCTATTGCAAAGAGGCGAGACTGAGGGTCTCGACGTGGGTGACAGCGAGCCGTCCCATGTCATCTCGTATCAAGGCCGCGTCCGTGCGCTGCGCTAGTGAATAGTCGGCACGGCCCTAGCGTCCGCCATGGTTGCCGATCGCTCGATGCTCGTGCATTGCTTTGGGTCTTGCACCGATTCACAGTTCATTTCTTCTCGCGCGAAGCAGTCATCGTAGTGTATCTTGAAATACAAATCTACCCAGAACATTACCCATTATCCCAAGAAGTTGTTACAATATGGAAAAGGCACAATCGTTGTCTAGAACACGCTCAACCCCATGTCAATAACGAGGTGCAGAAAGGGAATGCGAGCGTCCACCCGCTAGCAGGCGCCTTGACTCCACATCTTAACAGATTTGACGGTAAGTCCGCGCTTGTCGCCCTCTCCCCACGTCGGAAGCCAATTGGTCATGCTGTCGAAGAACTCTTTGGGTGCCTGAGCAGTTAGTGGATGTTGCCGTAAGAGAGTTGTAGCCTCATTCGCTTACCGTGGGCGACTCGTTACCCCAAGGCTTATTCCCTATGCCTTCATTGAAGAACCCGTTCGTACCGCCAACGGCGACGTTTAGGATCAGGTAAAATGGCTGGTCGAAGGGCGTGTTGCTCCTTCCCGTGTTTGCCCACGGATTGTAGAGAGCCGAGTCATTTACCAGCTTCTCGCTGAAACCTCCACGATTCCACATGAGCTTGTTGAATTTGAGGAAGAAGACTTGCTGTACGAACGTCAGAAAGTGAAGGCAAGGACTAAGCCGACCTGTCTAGAATAATAGTAGGTACGCACCAAGAGCCTTGAGTCAATATATGTAAAGAGGTAATCTTCGCTCCATTCTACGCCGAATGTATGGAAGGCCTCAGTATAGTCAGTGCGGCGAACTTGATGTTGGCCGCTCGTCTTGTAGAAGCCGTCAACTTCGGGTAGTGGACCCCAATGCAGTGCACTGATGATCGAATCTCGACCTAATGTTGGCGCATATTAAGCGCTTGTTACAGACGATGGGAGTTCATGGCAGCTTACCTCCACTAGTATAGTTGTCCCCAGCATTGCCTCTGCTCTCGGCAATATCAATTTCGCCCGAGCGTGGCCACTCGCCATAGGTATCGTTCTCAGGCATCATCCAGATCGCTGGCCAAAGCCAGTCTCCCTGAGGCATCTTTGCCACAACTTCGACCTTTCCAAAGGTTATCGTCTTCTTTCCTTTTGTAGAAAGACGAGCGCTGCGCACAGGGTTGACGATAGTCCCAGCGGTCTTGTTCGAACGAATAGAGCAGTTGTCGATGCCTTTTGTTGTACAAGTACCATCGGTCTTGGAGATGTGAGGTCAGCTTATACTCAGTGAGTAAGCAATGGGACTCAGACGTACTGTCAGGTTGAGCACATAATTATCAATGAGTTGGTCTCTTGTGATGTCGGTGCTTTCAGTCGTCAAGGTAGGCACGATATGGAGACCGTCAGCGTCTGTGTAGGCGTTTTTTGGATCATCTGTGGTCCATTCGAACGTGCCGCTTCCGAACCCTCCTCGTTGGATTTCGTACTGCCAAACGTCTTTGTTGATCGTGGAGAAGTCGTCTTCTAAGATTAAACAGTACTAGATATGTGTCAGCTGCGACTGGTGTAACTGCTAAGGGTATCTGACCGAATGGTTCGTCACGCTAGCAAATGCTCGATAGCAGATGAATGCGCCAATGGCAACTCCTAAAACGACGCTTCCATAGAAGATGGTCTTCTCCCATTTCAATTTGGGATGTTTTGAGAGGGCCCATGGCTTTTCATCGTATTCACCTGGCACCAGGCGTGCGCTTTTGAACCTCCTTCGCGGTTGTTGCGAGCCTGGAACTTTTAGCGGATATCACAACACAACACCGCATTGTTACGTACCGTTCACATCTGGCGGAGGGCCATAAGAGACCCCCCGTCCACTCGCACTTTGATCACTGACTGACGGGGCACGACTGTGCCTGAGGGGTGTGGAGAAGGGATTCGTCCCTGAATTGGATTGGATTGCTGGTGTGTGAACGGAGGTTCTGCTTGACATTGTATTGAAACAATCGCTCGGCGATTTTCTGGCAGGCACCGACTGCAGTATGAACAAGGGATTTTATCCAAGTATTGTATATCCGAAAGGTGAGATTATCGCCAGGAAATGATAGGCATCATGCATCACATATCCAAGTCTGTACCCGAAAGGACCTAGATCTTGCGTCCAACCATCGAAGGCGAGGTTCAGCTCGAGCCATGGAGCTGGCCCAGGTCGGTGGCAGTGACAAGGACGTACCGCCGCGAGCCTGGGCCTGGAGATTGCCGGTCACACTGCATCGCGTGCGAAGCTGTTGTGCGTGCAGCGCGTGGGGGCCTGAGTGCTGTCGCCACCGTCTCCCACCCGCTTGTGTTGAATATAGGGGAGGGATTCTGATAGCGGCTACACGGACAGCGTCCCCGTCTAATAACGCATCGGTCGAAAGAGGAAGTCATGAAGCAGGTGCAGGGGAGCTGCGTTCCTCCGATAGCATCACGGCTCGCTTAGCGTTGCGCCACAGCGGGTTGGGCAGCGCATCACCCGTCGCTCGACAACCGTTCTGCCGTCCAACGTCTCCCGCCCCCTCGTGGACGCTTGGTCTTCCGTGCACACGACAGCGTCGCGCCAACGCTCTCGATAGCAAGTCATGTAAGTTGTCCATGACACTCAGCCTTGTACTTCCTGCACGTCTAGCGCGGCAGGGCACCGCTTGATTGCTGCTTACTGCATCTCCTCAGTGACCCGTTACCTCTCGACTCTCCCGTACATCTCCAACGTCACATTCCCATTCTGGTCTGCTAAAGTTTTTTGTTGTACCAGTCTCGGTCATGAGGCTGAAGAATCCGTTGCTCTTCTTTCCCATGACGCTTCGTATCGGTCCCAACGTTTCGGTTCCGTCTGCCGCCAGCCACACGGTTCCAAACCGACAAGGTATTAGATTGGTTTGCCTAAACGCAACGTTCTATTGAAAGCCTGCCCTTATCTTCCGCCTCAAGGACTCTCTCTGCGTCTGCATCCTGCAGCCACCAATACGATCATCACATTCCCGTCATTCGCCCCTGGTTGTGAAACCCAAACTCTGCAGCCGATTCCTGTATCTTGGTTGAGGACATGCTCTAGAATTGTGTGGCTGTTGATACGAAGACGGCATCCGTTCCTGACTATCGGATCGGCAATGCCATACTTTGAGCACGAATTGGACGAGGCGGTCGCCCATCCCGATTCGCTAGCCTATCCCTGCGATAGTGGTATGCACAAAAAACCAAGAATCGTGCATCTCTGTGCATGAGCTTCTTCCATGGTTCGGACACTCTAAGCATCCAGGACTTCAGCTGCGGTATTGCTTCCATCGCATCCGTGCCACGAAGCCAATTCCGGTGTGCATCTTCTTGTTCGAGACAAACGACAATGACCCACATCGGTTAGGCAGTACAAACATCGCATCGCACAGCTTACTGCAATGGTAGCTGTCGGTTGCTAAAAATGATCACACAAGATCTGGATTGCCTCTACCACTCGGCACTTGCTGGCTCTGATTAGACGGAAAATCTTGATAGAATAGTGAGGTGTCTCAGACTGCATGACTGGGCACAAGTAAGGTGTATGGCAATTTTCATTCACTCGGCATGTTGCAGCTCAGTAGCCACCGCATGTCTCCGACTCCATCCCTAGAGATACAAGGCATCGTTGTGAGCATAAGCTCGCCTCGGTGTTACGCAGCCTGAGGCAACGCAGTGTACTTTTTGAGTCTGCCCAAGGTAACAGAGGGTATCGGCGTTCTACTGCATGTGAGTTCACACGAGCTTCGGAAGGCGTTTACCATGGAGCCATACGTTCCTTACGGCCAGCCGCCCGGTCAACAGACAACTCTAGAACGTCGGATGCTCCCTATCTCGTTGCCTGTGCTCGCTTGGCCTGGATGATTAACGTGTTACCCTTGCCAGGTCAATGCACAGTGCATAACAGGTCAGGCTTTCGATGCAAACATTAAGCGACTGACAAGGTCGTATGCCGTACCCTGTCATGAATGTCGGGACAATCCTCCATCCCAAAACTTTCTTAATGTCAACACCTCCGTGAGATACAACGAATTGCACCTCTCTGAGCTGCGATCACCTCTCCTCCAGTGTCCGAACAATGGCCTCAGGACGTGTTGAACGCGAGTCACAAAGCTCGTCAATGGAGTCCGCAGTTGCCAAACACATACGGCCTGCTTTGACATATCGAGACAGTGCCGGCTCTAGCATTGCTTCAAGAGGCAGCAATGGCGGTGATCGACATGATGTGATGGTGAGTGGAAGTTCAGGAGAACGTGCTGCCAGTATACTGTAACACTCACTGAGTTGATTCACGCACAGGTCAAGTTCCTCTACAGACGTGCGTCTCAGGCGAAATGGTTGGAGCCTCCACAAGACGAGTACGGTGTCGTAGATGGCGGCGCAGCAAATCTTGGTGTCCTCCTGCGACGCGCCGACGGCATCTACACCGGAGAGCCTCTCTTTCTGAACCCGGATCTCGTACGCGCTGTCGAAAGGCTCGGCGTAGCAGTAGCTTTCACGATGTCTTCCGAAATCACACACGCCCTGCTTCAGCAAATCACGCCTTTCCAGACCGAACTCTCGCTTGATCCGCGAGGCTTTGTTCTTCCTATCGTGAACTCGGTACGTGATATTGTTACTGGAAAGGTCACGGTATCCCGAGATGCGTACGTATGTTTGTGTCGGCAAGAACGGATGGTGTTAGTCTGGGGCGACACTGTCCCAGGAATCCGTGAGTAGTTGCTTCTCCTTAATTGGAAGAGAACCCAATGGAGCGACATGTGCTAATTGCAGACAGTCGCTCACGGGACTGATATCGAGACGCGACTGCTTGGGCTGGTCTGGGGATCGCATATCCCTTCCTACAATCCCACTCCTCCACTTCAGTACACTCCGCAACCATTGCCTTCGCCACCAGTGGAGACACCAAATGGAGCGAGAACATCAATGTTTCCCATCTCAGCACACATGACAGGAGGCATGCCTTCTGAAATGAACGAGAAGATCATTGCCATCGACAGGGCGCTTGAAGTTGAAGAGCTAGGAGACCAAGCGTACGACCCAGATAAGGAAGCTGAACTGCCCGAGCGCCAATTTTTACTGGTACACGCTGTGACTATTGGCATTGCCATGGTGAGTCCCTTCTGTCCGAATATTCGGCATCGACACTAATGCAGGAAGGTCCTGGTCATCGTCGTGGAAATGGCCTGCGTCGCAAAGGTTTGACTTCTCCCGCATTATGCAAGGCACGATCCTGACCAGATTCCAGCTGCTGACCGAATACCGGCTCGATGGAGGCATGATTCGCTTTGCGCTGGTAAGTCGTCGATTTAATGAACCGTTGTACGCATAGCTGACGTTGAAACAAGGTTGCCACTATCCCACTGTTTGCATCGTTCTCACTGGTAGGTTGCGCCCACGTTTTCTTACCGACCGTTGTGCGCTTGCGCATTGCTCAGCTTGGTGGCTGGCTGATCGCGCAACACGAGTTCGCCTCTTACTGCCGATTTGGCCTCACGACCTGTCGATCTTCGAAAACCCGACTAATGCGGCCGTAGTTTTTCTTCATCGTCATTGGCGGTTCTTTGGGTCAGCTTTTTGGTCCCCTTTCGGGTTTGCAAGGAAATAGTCTGTACTACTCAGGTATGTTCCAGTCGACCGTTGGGAAGAATGGTCGTGACAACCCTGACTCAAGCACAACTAACGAATTTCCAGGTGTCAAGCCGAAGCGAATGCGCCACCAGGACTACGAACTTCCACATGTCACAATACAGATGCCCGTCTACAAAGAAGGCTTGAAAGGCGTCATTATCCCCACTGTGACCTCACTACTGGCTGCTGTAAGGTACTATGAGGTAAGAATCGTATACTAGGGAAAATGGTATCATGTTAACTGGGATTCTTTAGCAACAAGGTGGCACCGCTTCAATTTTCGTCAATGAAGACGGTATGCGATGTGTCGCGCCTGAGATGCAAGAAGCACGAAAAGCATTCTACGAGCTCAACAACATCGGCTGGGTTGCTCGTCCGAAGCATCATGAACACAAGAAGGAGAAGTCCGGCTGGTTTTCAAAGAAGAAGGGCGACGACTCCGAGAAGGGTCCAGACACGGAAGAGATATTTATTCGCGCGGGTCACTTCAAGAAAGCTTCGAACATGAACTATTGCCTCGACTTTTCGCTGCGCGTAGAAGACGAACTACTCCGACTTCTAGGTGAGCGAGCCCAAGAACGCGGCTGCTCATCCGACGATCTTACCGTTGAAGACGAAGATGAGATGTACGAGCGAGCCATGAACGCAATGCTCGAGAAAGATGAAGGCCGAACTTGGGCTGCAGGAAACATCCGCGTGGGTGAGGTCATCTTGATTGTCGATTCTGATACTCGAGTGCCAGAGGACTGTCTGCTATACGGCGCACTAGAGATGCATGAAAGTCCTGAGGTTGCTCTAATTCAGCACGCCAGTGGTATCATGCAGGTCGTCAACAACGTCTTCGAAAACGGTATCACTTACTTTACCGACTTGGTATACACCTCCATCCAATACGCCGTCGGGAACGGTGACTGTGCGCCTTTCGTTGGACACAACACGTTCATCCGTTGGAAAGCCATTCAGAGCATCTCATTTGAACAAAATGGCTCGACTAAGTTCTGGTCCGAGCACCACGTCTCGGAAGATTTCGATGTCAGTCTTCGTTTGCAGATCAACAAGTTCGTCGTACGGCTTGCTACCTACCACGATGGTGGTTTCAAGGAAGGCGTGTCGCTCACGGTATATGATGAGCTTGCTAGGTGGGAGAAGTACGCTTACGGCTGTGAGTACCCTCTGTATCCCTACGTATGAAGTGCGTAAACACTGACATGTACTTACGCTAGGCAACGAACTCGTCTTCAACCCTGTTATCTACTGGTGGCGGCGTGGACCCATCACTCCACTCTTCTGGAAGTTCCTCTGGAGCCCAATCAAAGTCACATCCAAGATGACTATCCTTGCGTACATCGGAACCTACTACGCCATCGCGTCGGCCATTCCCCTCTCACTAGCCAATTACTGCGTCGTGGGCTGGTTCACCGACGACGTCGACCAGTTCTACATCACCAGCTGGAAGATCTTCGTCGGCATGGCCGTCGTCTTCAACGTTCTCTCACCCCTCGCATACGCCATGTTGCGCCATCGTCTAGGCAAAAAGACGTTCTTCTGGTCGCTCTGGGAGACTATCAAATGGATGCCGTAAGTAACCCACCTGTCCCCTATCCCACCGACTCACATCCCACAGCTTCTTCCTCCTCTTCTTCGGCGGCATCTCCTTCCACCTTCTCAAAGCCATTTTCTGCCACTTCTTCAGCGTGGAAATCGAATGGACGGCCACCGTCAAGGAGCTCACCGAGTCGGGCTTCCGTGTAGGTCTTGACCGTATCGTGCGCGACTTCAAATGGATGTATATGTTCTTGCTGCCTATTATCGGAGGCATGATCTACTGCGCGTCCTTTGCACCAAGGGGTTGGACGGTTAGCGATTTTACGGCTATTGTGCCGCTGGCCAACCAGGTTGGGTGCCATGCTTTACTACCGGTGAGTATACTTCCTGCCTTTGTAGATGAGGAAAACATGGCTAACTTAGGACAGTTTGCACTGGGTCTTTTCTAAGGGTGCTGAGTAAGGGATGTATCTTGAATTTCCTTTGGGGTTCTATGGGTTAGTATAGTTACGGCCTCTTTGGGAACTTGGGAACCTTAGATTAGAGATCACAGGATATAATGAGGGCTACATAATGGGTACGATCGGAGTTCGTAACGTAATATGGTCTCAGAAGGGCACATAATCTCAAATCCTCTTTCTATGTCCACAAGTCTGGTACCCGCAACTTCCACGTTCGTGCCTCTATGATCCAGCGATCCTAAATTCCCACGATGAAAACCACAGCTCACTGACCTCTCTCACCTCACATTTCCCTGCCTTACAACCCCATACACCCACCTCTACCAGCCACGCCATTCTAGAACCCGAACCCGATCTCGTATCTACACATACCCCCCAGCATACCCACCACCCCACCCAGATCGCACGCCCCCAACTCACACCCACCGCCCCATCCCCAGAACAACGCACGCACAGACCCACCCCTCCCAATCCAGCATCCAATACCCAGAAGCGGCACGCAGCCGCCTGTTGGGCTCATCTTATCATCGTATATGCACGTCCCATCCTACCCGCCATCTCATCTCGTCTTCTCGAACGGGTACTAGCATGGTAGAGTGCGTACGAGGGTACGATGTGCATGCAGCTGCTGACTGATGGCTTCGCGAGACCTTCGCGAGATAGATAGATATCTATCTTATGCAATGATATGCATGCCTCAGACCATGCACCCGGTTGGGCTCTCGTCTTCGGACGGGACGGGTCCGGGAATGGTTAGGATACGGGACCGAGATCCAGGTTGTGTTTGAGCCGGGGTGCGGGCCGCGGTGCATGTGTTCGGTATCGTATATGTGCGTGTGGAATCTGCTTTGGGACGTGGACCTGGTCGAGCTGGATGTGCGAGTGGGCCAAGTGCGGCTGAGGAGAATCATGGGTGTCGGCGTGTGGCTGCCTGGTTGGGGGTGTGCATGGCGTGGGATGTGTGCTTTGCGTGGTGTTGTGATTCGGATGAGGTGGCAGTCGCTACGATGGTTGTCTGTCGGTCTCGCCGAGACAGCGCAGTGTCTCAATGCGTCTTATCACATATGTATGTCCTCGGACGAAATGCTCGATTCAGCAGAAGATCAAGTACTCGCATTGCAGCTACTTCGTACACGTTGTATTGTGCTGTTGCAATACAGACACGACACAAGCCCCGCCTCCAAACCATTAAGCACAGTAGACTTGAAATCTCCAAAGCGAAAGATGAAGTACGCCAAAAAAAATCAGAAGCCAAACAGCAAAAATTACCACCTCCAGACATACTCCTGCTACTGTGATCTAGTGTTTGCCTCGCCCAAATGACAGTCTGAACGATGTTGTGTCCCAAGCACACTCCTCCAGATAATTCCAATCCCACGATGTTCCCCTACGTTGTAGTCATCCACCGTAGTGGGTAGTTTCGGACAGGACCTGAATGAAAGAAAAGAGTTAGCTTCTTCGACAGCCTTGACGTTGCAAATACGCTAAGGAGATGGCACATGCGGCCTAGAGACTCCTCAGTTAGTATCACGCGTTTCCGGTATGGCAACGAGCTGGTTGAGGAGTTGCGTAGCTCTCTCAGGTTTCGAAGTACGTTCTGAGCTCTTTGAAAAGAAGCTCATCCAGAGGGCAAGTGAAAGACCTTCTCGGCATGTGCGGTAGAGCATCATACCGCAAGGAGTCGTGCGCTTTCAGTTCGGTTCCCATAGCGTCCTGCGGCCGCCGCGAACGGGAATACCACGTGTTACAGGACGCGTAAACGAGTCAGGATCAATCGGCCTGTTGGGATCGTGACGAGGGGCTGGTTGTGATTGGAACACGGGTGCCGGTGGGACATAAGCTCCACCACGGCCCCGACCGGCAAACGCTCCTCGGCCACCACGGATAGCTCCACCACGACCACGAGGCGCAAGATTACCGCGACCACCGCGAGGAGAATGTTGCTGGGTCGTACGTCCGAAATCATTCGGGTCGAACACGCGCTGGCTGGCGGTGCCATTAGCGGGACCGCGAGGCGCATTCTTAATGAGCACACAATCCTCCTCGTCCGAGTCAATGCCCGGCTTGCTCACCGTAGAGTGACTGGACTTGGGACGCTGGACTGATTTAGGCTCCAGTTCCGATTCCTTCTTCATCGCATGCTCTTCGGTTTCCTTCTTATAGACGGTCAAATGATTCTTGAACTCTCGGTCCTCGCGCATGACAGCGTCACGAAGTTGTTCCAAGCGCTTGGCTCGAATGCCGAACTTCTGAGCTATAGTCTGTTTGGCCGGGTCGTTCGTGAGGAGGATGAAGTTGTCAAGAGCAGCATCGGGATTGCTCTCTTGGTGGATGCGCCATAAGATGTGGTTGAAAAGTGGACGGAGGCTGTGCGGGAAGCCATTCTTAGGCGATTTCTGACCGCGTGGGAGCTCGGTGCTGTTGCGCGCAGTGCGGGTGGGCGAGTCGACAACAGGTGTCACCTCGTTGTTGACCTGGGCCTTCTCATCAGTAAGTCCGCTGGCCGGAGCAAAGAAATCTGTCTCCGTGGTGCGTATAGACTTCGGGGACTGGTCGAGACTGCTCATAGAGGTGCCGTCGGAAACATCGAGCGCATTGAAAGAGCTCTCCAGATCCTCGCGGTACTCGTCCTCGTCGTCCTCGTCTTCTGAGGCGCTAGACTCCATGGAAAGGAGAGTTTCTGGCAGCATGAATTGCTCCACTTCGGCCCATGTGTTGTATGCTTCTTCAACACCCTCGAGCACGATCCGGTCGCCGATGGTTGGTGATGAGGTAACGTCGTCGAGCCATTTGAGGGCATCGCGGGCGTCGGCATTGTAGCGTTCTTGTCCAGTCTTGAGGTGGTTGAGCTGGGCGAGGGCTGTGTAATGTTAGCGTGAATCTTGGGAACAGGCGGGGAGGTTGACTGTGAAGGGGTACGAATAGACGTATGGCGTCCTGGGTTATCCATTTGCGGATGCCGTCGCGGGTGCTCTTCTTGGCGCCTGCGATCAGCGCCGTGTCGTCGACGATACAGTTGAATATCTTGCGCTTGGGCGGTTCGGGCGGCGCACGCAGGCGGCTGTCGTCAGGCCGAGGCCGCGGCGGGAACGTGTTGCGCCGCATGAGCGCGGCGGCGGTGAGTATAGCGAATGCAGAGTGATGCGCGCTGTGTTCGCGACAAGAGTGTGGGAGTGTAGTGGGTTCCTGTAAGAATGGCTGGGTGCGAGTGGTTCAAAACGGGCGTTTGTTGGGCGCCAGACCAAGGTTCTGCGAGGGTTGCTGCTGGCTCAGGGCGCGAGCATGCTGCTTGCGCGATGACTGCGCAGAGGCTGAGCGAGAGCGGGTGTTAGGATCATGACGCGGGTGAGCGATGCGTGAATCACTCGTGCAAGGTGAAGGTGCCGTGGGGAATGAAGGTGCTCAGCGTCATCTCCGCAGTGTGGGCAATCGCGGGAACGGGAAAGAGCCACCGCACCGCCACAGTGGCGCAGCTACCACACGCATGATTCACTCCTTCGTCGACTGGCGGTCTACATTGGATATATCTTCACAGCAGCTATCGCAAGAGGCGGAGAGTCTAGTAGCTTTCCACCTCGGGCCGTCTGTCTTCTCTCACGTCGGGCACCCATCCCTTAGGCCGCTCCGTACCACGGACTGTGAGACCGTATAATGCTTTTTCGACCTTGTCCACACACTCCCTCATAACATCCGCCTTCTTCCTAACGTCTGCTCCCAATTTTCCGCCTCCAGGCTCGAACATCTCGAGCTGCAGTCGCAGTGCTCGGAGATCCGAAAGGATGTTGCGCGGCTCCTCGGATGGCTTCGACGCAGGCGTTTGCTCGTCAACGTCCATCGTGTCGGCATCCTGGTCCTGGGGTAAGTCTTGACTAGTCTTAGCTTCCTTCTTCGGCTGGCCCGCTGGAAGTTTGCCGTTGGTAGCCATGGCCGTGATCGAGAAACGCATGAGCTCGCCCACCATGTCGAAAATTCCGAGGATGTAGTCCTCCGGGGTCAGTAGTACTGCTCCAGCGCTGCCACTCATCGAAGCTACGCGTGCTCTCGCGTCATCGTAGGATATGAGTGTCTGCGATTCCAGGTAATGATGGAAGCTCAATGCTTCCATGAACTCTTGATTGCCTCCCGTGATCTGAGGGTAGCGGAAAGCGTTTAGGCCTTGAACATCGGCAGCGATATGCTGATACTGGTTCTCAATGATCTCCCAGTACTGTGCATTGCCTTTGGTCACGAAAGCAGGAACTGGTTGTCCAAGCGTCCGCACCCTAAGTTTATTAGGGAGTATTCGTGATCAATTTCTGCGTATACTGACCGTTGTAGAGTGAAGATGCTACATATTTGGTCAGCAAAGAACCCTCGTTCCGTTTACACATATTAATTTACATTTTCTTGCTTGCGGCGGTGATGTCGCGCGACGCTTTGATAATCCTCTCACGTCGATCGTGGTGCTCGTCAAGCTCTGCTCGAAAGCCTTCGAACATCGGCATGAATGGCGATGCCGCCTGCTCGGGCTTGCCTGACTTCTCGTCTTTCATTGCTCCGTCTCGTGAGCGTTTAGGTCCCATGGTTGCAGGCTGCGCAGTGGGAGTATACGTCAAGCAAACATTCAGTGGCTAGCGGAAAGAGCGAGTCCTAATGCGGCATAGGCTGCTCGGTAGCAGATGTCCCTGCATTGCACTGTGTGGCTTTCCATCATCACCCTCATCCCGTTCCCACCACGTCTCGATTAGGGTCACGCCTATGTACCTGTGTTTCAGTGGTTTCTTTGATTGATGGTTTTGCTCCTGTCTTTTTGGTACCTCCATTCCGCCCAAATATGGCGCTCTCAGCTTTCTTTGGCAGTTCACAAGCTGTATTCTCCGCCGCCGTAGTTCTGAGAGCTGTCTTCCTGGTGTACGGACTCTTTCAAGATGCATATTCGCCCATGAAATACACCGACATTGACTATTTCGTCTTCACTGATGCAGCGCGCTTCATTGCACAAGGACAGTCACCTTATGCTCGAGATACGTACAGATATACACCACTGCTTGCATGGCTCATCTACCCAACGACATGGCTAGGCTTCTGGTTCTCCTTCGGGAAAGTCCTCTTCGCAGTTGGCGACATTGTTACAGGCTGGATGATGTTTCGCATTTTGCGAACCTATCACAACATGTCCCAAGAAAGAGCGTTAAAATATGCCAGCATCTGGCTGCTAAACCCCATGGTCGCCACAATCAGCACACGTGGTAGCTCCGAAGGCCTCCTTGGTGTCCTTGTGACGGTGCTTCTTTGGGCTGTATTGGCAAAGCGCGTTGCGCTTTCTGGCTTTCTTCTCGGCTTTGCAGTCCATTTTAAGATATACCCATTCATATATGCTGCATCTATCATTTGGTGGCTCGACGACGATCGGATCAAGGGTCATCGAAACAGCAGACCATCTCCATCTGCTACATTCGGGAATCAGTTACTGTCCTTCCTGAACCCACAGCGGCTTATTCTGGCTCTGTGCAGTCTTCTCACGTTCATGGTACTCAATATGATAATGTACCTCGCGTAAGTTATCGTCCTCACCATGAACAATGCGGTACTGACGGGAGAAAGATACGGCTGGCCTTTCCTTGAACACAGCTACTTCTACCACCTGATCAGGATTGATCATCGCCATAACTTTTCGCCCTATAATACCTTGCTCTATCTAAACTCTTCTCCTGGGGCCAATCAAAATGCAAGCGCTCAACCGTCTTTGGAGCTCGAACGACTGGCTTTCCTACCACAGATCCTGCTGAGCGCAGTTTTGATCCCTTTGGTTTTGAGCAAGAGAGACCTGCCATCGACCATGCTCGCCCAGACATTCGCATTCGTGGCCTTTAACAAGGTCTGCACAAGCCAGGTTCGTGTCCCGCACAGGACCTGTTTGCACGCACTAACAACCTACCAGTACTTCCTCTGGTATATGATGTTTTTGCCCTATTACCTCCCTGATTCAACACTGCTACACTCTCGTCCAGTGGGTATCTCAGCGCTCATTCTTTGGGTGCTCGGTCAGGTTCGTGCTCGAATGCATGTGCTCGACTGACAAGCTGACCAAGTGAAGGTATTCTGGTTACAACAAGGATTCCAACTAGAGTTCAACGGTTACTCGACCTTTGTCCCAGGGTTATGGCTTTCCGGCATCTTTTTCTTCATTGTCAATGTTGGAATATTAGGCATCATCATTCGCGACGTCAAGTCGAAAGAGCCGCACGGAAGAGAGCTATACGCGACGAGCAAGGCTACAAAGAAAACGTCGTAACTTGAGAAGTCTTAGGTTCATTAGATAAGTAGATACGTGAATGGTAACATTCCATCTTCACTCTTTCTCCCTCTCCCTCCATCGTCTTCTAGCATGTGAACACCGCAGGACCCGGCGCGGTGTACGTCTTCTGCCCACTGTACAAATTGTACAAGATTCCCGCATCAGACGCTTTATAAGCCCCAGGCAAGCTCACGCTCGCAGGCGTCTTGCTTGCAGATCCACCCGTAACATTAATCTGCGCACACTCCATATAGAACTGCGCACCACCAGAGCTAGAAGCACCATGCAGCGCAATCAGCTCGCCACGGAGCAAGTATTGTCCCGGCGCGATGCACTGCGGGATGGTAACAGTCTGCACGCCACCATTTGCAATGAGCTTGTCCACGCCCCATTTGCCGTCTGAGCCGAGACCCTCTTCTGCGATCTTGAACCAGCCAGCTATGTTTCAGTCAGTTTCAGTATTCCCGGGTCGTTCAAGGAAAGTATAGGAAGGCACGTACATCCAGGTCCAGCGTCCGTCTTCGCATCCGTGACCTTCTTCATGTACGCCATGACGGGACCCTTGTGACTCGCGTCGATAACATCGTTCGAACCGGAAGTGAGTGTATGGCGCCAGGTCAGTTTCGCAGTTGAACCGGCTTGGACGTTGATGACGGTGTTGGTGCTCTGGACGGCGCCGTTGGGGGCGCCGTTGCAGGCGATGGAGCTGGAGGACACGTCTGTGATGGGCTGTTGGGCGTCAGATCTTGGGTTTACGTGCAAAGGGAGTTTGAGTCGGCCTTACGCCATCGTAGGAGACTACTCGAACGCCGTCGCCTACTGCGCCGCTGTTGAGCGAGACAAAAATGGTGTGAGCGGAGGCGGTCGAGGCCGCGGCGGCAAGGGCGAGGGATGTGGAGAACTTCATGTTGGCTTTGGAAGTCGTGGTAGTGCTGCTTCCCTTCTTCCTTCCGGTAATGCTCCCTTTTATACAATGAAACACCACCGGATGATGATCCTAACCTCCCACGACACTATACCGCGGTAGCCACACACCTACACCCCAGACTCCATACCAAACTCCCTTATTGAGTCTACCGATCCCAGCACCCGGGATCTGTGGGAAGGCATCCACCAATTGCACTAGCACCCTACATGACTCCACGAGCCTCCAAAGCCACCGCCCTCTTTTCGAAGCGGAGCCACCGGTCCGTGGAGGCTCTCGTAGCACAACGTTAGATTAAGCAATATCGAAACCCCACAGAATGTTCTTCACATCTTAAGCGAACGCTGGCGTGGCCAATCCCAGCGTCAGAGATAGATTGAGGCGAACAGAACACCAAGAAATCCTGGGGTAAATTGCTTTAGACGGGAAACGTGATCTCCCTTGCACAAGAGTCTTGAGATTGCCGAGCGATGTAAAAGAAGGCCAAGAACGACGGAAGACGATTCAAGCGGGATGCGGATAGGCAAGCCGTGATCAGGCAGGGAACTTGAGGAAATTTGGAAAGACATTCGACCTAGAATCATTTTCGTCCTCGGAGCTTAGGATAGAACGAGGTTACCAGCAGCGAGTTCTGTGTACGCCTTCATTGCAAGTATTGATTGACTAGCAACAGTGCTCTATCATTTCTCATACGTTTGTGGTCAAATACCCAGTGACTAACATCCACAGGAGAAACCCCGACACTTTGACCTGTTTCGAGGCTAGCCCCGTCTTCATCGGCGTTGTGCTCGATGTCGTCGCGCTTCCCGCCGAATCGCAATTCACATAGTCAATAGTACGGATAGCCAGCCGAGCCAGAGCCATCGCATTGCATGAAGACATCGTTGTACTCCATATCGTCCACTGTTAGTGAGTGGTTTGGTTTGCTATCAGCTGGAGCATGCTCGCATCCTTGCTTGCATTGACGCATTGCAGTTGGAGACTGGTTGGTGAACAGCTAAATTGGCTGCCACATATTGATTGTTTGCATGTGTATAGGCCGGATTGCCCTTCTGTCGTTGGCCCACTTCGAGGGCTGACATGATTAGACTGAGCTTGCAAAGTCATTTTTATGCTTCAGCTGGCGGGTTGGCGTTCACCAAGGCTTTCAGCTGGAGCGGGTTTGAACATTGCACTTTACGGTTGCGAGAACAGTTGACCAAGAGAAACGAGCTTGGAAAATTGAGGTACTGTGTTCTTCCTACAGTTGATCGCAAATTAGTAGAGGTCCTCCGGTCAGTCCAGAAGCCTTTGCTGTGGTTCTCTATAAAAATGGTCTGTCCACCGCAACTCGTCTCAAGGGTTGTCCATATCGGTCTCTTCATCGTCCCATGCTACTGACAAACTTTCGTCAGATTTCGGACGCGGAACCTCTGCTCTGGTCCATGTCTCTCTAAACTGCTCGCGAGGATACTGCCCAAGTGCCGCATCTCCGAAGAATAATTGTAGACAGAGCAGAAGGGGAGAAAGCGCAGCCGTCCTAGCGAGACGTTTCAATCCAATCCAGAGAAGCCCAGGATACCGTGCTTTTGCTGTTGCTTCCCGCCCTTGCCCTTCTTCCTCTTCTTCCGCTTCTGCGAGGGTCGCTCATCATCGCTGCTATCATCCATCTCTTCATCGCTATCCTCGTCCTCACTATCACGCGAGTGCTTTGCCCCCGCGACGCCGTTTTCGGCCTCTTCTTCTTCGCGCTCCTCCTGATGCCCATATATGCTCGCTTCGCCCCATATTTTGACCATTCTGCCGCCTCCACTGATCATCCTGCCTGTAGCATCGAAGCCAAGACCAACCACGGCCTCTTTCTCCAACTCATCATGCGATAACTCGGCAATAACCTGGTTCGCTCCGATCTTGACAAAGCGCAGGGCACCATTGCCCAAGCCCACCGCGACTACTTTGCCGCCGGGCCCGACGCCTTGGGGCAAGAGTGCCATCGAGTCTATGCTCTCTCCGCCCCCAGGTGACCTGTCAACGGTGATGCGCTCGTCTTGGTCATCCCAGACTCCCCGTTCCCAGAGAGTCAGGACACCATTGCCGCCTCCGACAACGACCTTTTCACCGACACTGGAACCTTTCTTTGAAAGGCCTGAAACCATGACTGAGCACAAAAGCTCCTCTTCCTGATCTTCGCTCCGTACCATTACACCCCGTCGAAGGTCTGTGACAGCCACTGTGGTACCTCCCGTGCTAACCCATTGTTTACTAAAGCCACTCGTGCTTGCGGCGCTCGGTGGTAGCGGCGTGATGGACGAGATGTAGTCATCATGTGGGTGATGCGTTTGTTCGGGCTTAGAATTGGCTTTCGGGCCGAGGGCGCGGAGGTCGTAGAGGTGGAGCGCTGAGGAGTCGGTCCCCAGAAGAAGGGTCTGCGGTGAGAGTGCATGGATGAGGGACGGCGCGTCAACCGCATTAGAGGTGCTGCGCAGTGTTAGCAAGCCTGAAGGCATAGCAGTAAGTACTAATAACGTACGGATCAAGGGGGACAGCGATTTTCGCAACGACATTGCCGGTCGCTGTATCTGCAGCTTTCACGATGCCATCCGTGCCAGCTGAGTACAGTTGCGAGCCATCGATAGCAAAGGCTAGCGCACGGCAGCTGCCTTTGTGTCGTCGCGTTTTCCACGCAGTCTCTATATGCCCAAAGCCACTTTCTGAAGCTAAAGTCTCATCGTCGTCGTCGCTTGCGCCTGCAGGCAGGCGATACGTCTGGACATGGCCTGAAGAGAGACCAACAGACACAATTGGCTCCTCCGGATGGACCGCCTGAGTAAACAGGTCGTGGTCAAGCGGGATGGCGCATATGTTCTGGAACATGGCGCGTGGTGTTGTGCGCTGTGAACTCAGCAACGCTGCAACTTTTCTGTGGAGCAATCGGAGGTCGCAGCTGCCCGCAAACGGCGCCCGCAGATCAGGTCACGTGTCGCGCCTATCCCAGCTCGGGTTCTGGCCAACTGTGGAAGGTCCTTTCAGCCTTGCACCCTCCACCTAGAATTTTTCCGGTCAGTATAAGGAGAGACATAATCTTAAGCTCCAGTAAGAATGTCCAGCGCTCACTCAATTCTTTTTGCTATCGGCAGTTCTCTGTCCTTTGTCCGTCAAGCTCACTCCAATCAACACGAATGTCAGCTGCGGACAGCCATTTCAGTGCCCCTTTCAAGGCAACAAACTCTGTCAACGTTACGAGTTTTGTCAGCGGCATGCGTTGGCTGTAATTTGTGGTGGTAAGAGCACTTTCAGCTGGCTCCAAACTTGTCTCAACGTGGGTATACAGAGAAGTGCTGGGGATCCTGATCTCATCAGATGATGCAATACTAGCTGAGTGATCACCCTCGCGACTGGGTATACCTTTTTTAGCACATCAAACATATGTCTACATAATTGTTCATTACGCTCTGTAGCCCCTCAATCACCCAGCCGTCACACTTTCCGCTGGAGCAATCTTCGAGACTCCCACAGCTGTCTTCAACATGAAAATTACCCAGGCCCTGCTCGTTTCTACGGCACCTCTGTTAGCCTTGGCCACTCCTACCAAGCGTGCCTATCCTGAAACAATATACCTTTCCAACTGCGCTTCTAATTTTGGCATCTGGTCTGAAGTTGACTACTACGCCTCCGGCCACTGTTCCTCTGTCAGTTGCTCACCGAATGATCGACCGGATGATAGCTCCCAGATGACGTCTGTCACTGGAACCTCCTACCTGCACTGGGAGGGCTCACAGATGGTGTGTTGAGCCCCTATCGGACCACAATGCCCTTCTTGCATAGGTCTGCGAGGCGACTCTGAGTACATTTCAATTAATGCCTTCATCAGTCAGCACAGTTTCCTGACACGGCGTTCACGTTCACCATTGATGCGGACGCACAGAATCAAAAGAACTACATCAAAGTGGTAGTGGAAAGAACAAGTATCATGAGTACTGGTGCTACAAAGACGATCAGAGGACGTTGTACACGCTGAGTGGGAGTGGGTTCGGGGCGTATTGCAAGAGTATCTACTACTGCCAACAGAAGTAGAGGCAGGAATAGTGCGGACAGCCCAAGGACCCACTATGTACGGAGCTATGGGGTTATCAAGCCACGTATAGAGTAACACAACGAAGAGGAGCAGCAACTCCATGAATTCAGGTGTGCCCAAGAGTCTTGTCCCCCTTTGGGATAGTCACCCATTGGTCAGCGATACAGCGTCAGGCAAGAATTTTAATAACATATCAAAGCCTGAAAACACCCTGGAATAGACAGTCCGAGATCGGAATATTGAGAGCATCGTCCACCCGATCTTCATTTTCACGTAAGACGCTGGCTTACATTGCTAACCTTACAGTACTCCAATACACGCCCTCCAAACTCCTCAATAATAATGCCCCCTTCTTCAACCCAATCATACCCTGCCTAAAGCCATCCTTCTCCATCTGATCCATAACCTCCTCTAGGTTCTTCCTCTCCATACTGCCTACACCACCGTCCAACCGCGGATCCGCCTCCAGCGCCAAAGGCAGAACACCACTCTTCACAACTTCCGTTGAATTCCCACGCTTCCCGTTGCTATCCGAAGAGCACTTCAAGCTCATGAACGTCGGCATGTTCGTCGCTTGACCGGGGAATCGAAGCGTCTTGACCTGGTTTCCCGTGCATTGTGCATTCTCGAACAAGATGCAGGATCCATTCTCGTCCGGACCGATGGAGCGCGGGGAGTCATCGCCTGTGCCAGCGATGTGGCATTGCGTGCTGGGGGCGGTCCAAGCGCAGGAGCCGCGGAAGTTGTCGCCGGTGCAGATGTAGACTGCGCCAGGAAGGCCGCGGCGGTTCAACCGATGGCGTGTCGACGCGTCTTGACCTTCTTGGACGTCTCGGATTGGGAGGCTTTGTACATCGTGGCTGAAGCGCGAGGTTGGGAGCGCAAGCAGACTGTTTGGGAGGAGACAAAGGTATAGTGCGATGGCCGGAAGTAGGGAGAATTTGACCATTGTTTTGACCGTGTAAGGTTGCGATTTAGAAATTAAGACTGAGTATAAACAAGTATTGTTCAAGTATTGGTCAAGTCGTCGACCTAAGAGCAACGGGCACCGGCCCTGTGTAAAGAAATGAAATGAACGAATGAGTCAGGCCTCAAAGGTGCCAGTGTGCGTCGAGCACAAAGCGCGTCAGGTACGCCTAAGAGAAATGTTGTTGATAGATGACGTCGCAAGGGCGAAAAGGGAGACCGGCTTCGACTTCGTTCTCGTCTTCTGCAAGGGACATCTGCCAGAGATGGATGTTATTCGTTCCCAGCCCCATGATGACCAAAAATTGGTCAAGACTGTCTGCGCGCCGATGATGCTGTCATGTTGTCGATTCTGCCAAAGGAGTGTCCAGAAAGGGCGCAACGAGAGTTGCGAGCACGAGAAGTGATAAGAATATGGAAATTGGCTGGGGTTGGCCTCATGAAACGTGTTTGCGATGTGTGCGACCGCAGGAGTCGCACCCAAGAACCAATTGGTGTGGGGCGCTCACGACACCTGTGGACTCGAGTTTCTGACAGACAAGATTAGCTAGGATCGGCTAGTATGTCGCGTGTAGTTCGTCACGCCTAGGTGAGAGTGATTGCGCACAGTCGTAACGTGGTTACGCGGTGGTGCACAATACACAGTAATAGGTGATCGCCAGCGACCGGACGGATCGACAGGTACGCGGGACGACGGCATAAAGTCCGCTGTTGCGCAATCAAGGCTTAGGTGTAACACCGCATCAGTTTGGCTGGGCTGCGGGCATACCAGAATTCTGCCGCATCGGGTAATGACAACAATTGCAGGCGCTCTATAAAGACCGACCGTCTCCCATTCAGGCACAATGAGTCGACTGTCAGCCTCAACGTCGCGCAGCAAAACAACCTTGCGAAAAGGGAAAATTGTCCTGAAGCGGTCATTCTGAGGAAGAGTCAGGATCATACTGTGCGCGCACATGTATCATTCGCGTCCTTTCAGTAATGGTTCGTGTCTTTCGTTGAACGAATTGTATAAATTATCAACCTCCGAAAGAGGCAATCGGAGAGCGGAGGAAACTTCGCTTTCGATTGTCGCAGGTGTGTTCGCGTGATGTTGCCAGCGCCCGAGGGGCCGGATTGACGCCCACGTTCATGTTCACGTCAAACTTCAATGCGTTTGACGCTGGGCCGGAAGAAGCAAAGAAACGATCCCTAGGTTGGCGATGCGTTTCTTCGGGCGGAAGATTAAGATGACATCTTAAGACATCGTTTATTGCTTTAACAAAATACCTTGTCGAAGATCTGGAAAATCATTGTGAGCGATATATGCTTGCAAACTGCATTCTGATTAAGAGGGTCCGCCTCCACTTCGCTGAACAGCGAGATGGCGTCGGTGAGTTTCCCATAGCTTCGCATCGCGCTCGGTACCCGAATGATAGGCAGTGGCGATTGGAGGGAAAGACGGCTTCCAACATCCTGAATTGACATCTGCCTACTGATCTGGCGACCTGCTAAACTGCGATAAGATATAAAAAGCGCGGAGAGGAAGAGTGCTTGCTCACCCCTCGAAGACTGAAGTCATTTCTGGTCCGTGCGTTTAGTGCAAGCCCGGTTATCGGCGGCGCTCCCAGAAACATTCAAGAGTGCGGTCCAACACCTCACGGAGCATGTCAGCCATGTTCTAATGTCGAAGATAGCCAGGCAGCTGTGCCCGCGTAGACTCACCCCAGTTGTCCGCTCGCACCACAGTTTTCCCGTCATGGTGAAGCGCGACTATGCGGTAAGCTGCGAGAGCTCCTCATGAGGGCGTGTCTGACTCCCCGGCAGGCCGCCGTTGGCGCGCTCAATACGCTGCAGTCCAATTTCTCTATTGTAGACGCGATACGGAAGTCTGGAAAGGGCATGAACAAGCAGGCGATTCCGGAGATGATCGAGTGGTGTCGCAAGGTCGGTTATGAGGTGTGCGGCTCCCGTTCCTGGACCTTTCGTTCTAGCCGCTGAACTATGCTGTAGCCCTCCAATTTTGACGGATTGAAAGCAATACATATCGCCGGAACCAAAGGCAAAGGTTCCACGAGTGCCTTCGTCTCCTCCATCCTCGCTCAATACATCAAGCCGTCCTCCGAATCACGTACGAGTCCCACCAAAATCGGGCTATACACGTCTCCACACCTTCGCTCCGTACGCGAGCGCATACAGATAAACAACGAGCCTATTTCGGAAGAGCTGTTCACGAAATACTTTTTCGAGGTATGGGACCGGTTAGAGGCTGCTGCGGACGCGGAGAACACACCAGAAGGCGTGCCGACAAAGCCAGTGTACTTTCGGTATCTGACGCTTACGGCGTTACATGCCTACTTGGAGGAGGGTGTGGACTCGGCAGTCATTGAATGTGGCATTGGAGGAGAGTACGACAGTACCAACATCCTCTTGAAACCAACGGTTACGGCAGTAACAAGCCTGGGAATTGATCACACAGCTATGCTGGGATCCACGCTCCCTGAGATCGCATGGCACAAGGCGGGGATCTTCAAACCTGGAAGTGTTGCGTTTTCCGCTCCGCAGAAAGAGGAGGCTATTGCTGTGTTACAAGAACGTGCGAAAGAGAGAAATACCCAATTGCACGTTGTCGATGTACACCCAGATTTAGCCAGCAACAAGGTCAAGCTTGGTCTCTCTGCTTCTTTCCAGAAGATCAACGCCTCAGTCGCCATAGCCACGGCTGCTGCACACCTTCGCGCTCTCGGTCATACATCAATTCCCGATCCCACAACAACAGCGCATATTGAGCTCCCTGCCGAGTTTATCAAGGGCTTAGAAGAAGTCCGATGGCCAGGACGATGCGAAGTTCGCCGCGAGAGGAACGTAGCATGGCACATTGATGGAGGCCACACACTCGAGAGCATCGAAGTAACCGGCCAATGGTTTGCAGAACAAATGGCTGCAGCGAATGCCGCTCCGAGTGCAACAAAGGCAGCACCGCGCATCATGATCTTCAATCAGCAGACACGGGATGCAAATGTCTTGGCAAAGGCTCTCTATACTGCGTTACAGACCGGTATCACAGCGGATTCGACATCCCCTTTTACGCATGTCATCTTTACAACCAACCAGACATTCAGCGAGGGCTATAAGCCTGATCTTGTGTCCATGAACACGAACCAGCAAGATGTTGATACGCTGGCAGTACAGAAAGCTCTGGCAAAAACTTGGTCTGAGATTGATAGTACCGCTGATGTGAAAGTGTTGAAGACGATTGAAGAGGCTGTTACTGCGGCTAGAAGCATTGCAGGTGATTGGGCTAAAGAAGCCGGTGCTGATGCGGAAGTCATGGTGCTCATCACGGGCAGTCTGCATTTGGTAGGAGGGGCACTGGAGATGCTGGAGACGCATCCAGCGAGATGATGCGAGCCCTTGCAGAAGAGCCGCAAGAGAGACGGCAGAATCGAACGGTTCAACCTGCGCGCTGCTAGGAGGTAAAGCGCTTGGACAGCTTTGCGATAACAGCGTCTCCACACGTTGAAAGGACCATAGAGGATAATCCATTTCTCGGGCATTTCGAGATTGCACAATATATACCAAGATGCGCACTCATACTAGAGATGATCCCAAATCCTCGTTCGTTCTGAGGCTTCCTGGCGTTCCAAGGTTAGGTGAGTGGTACGTGTTGGTAGTCAAGGAAGGCGCGACCCTCGACTTCTCTGTGCTACCTCGCTTTACTTGGCTCAAAGTGATATGTCACCTGTTGTGACACTTGAGCCGTTCGTTCGCAGCAGCAGAGCGTTTGTCTCGCAACTTACGAACACTCTTCCGTCACCCAGACCTCGACCTTCTGCTCGATAACACGATCTGCTCAGCCGGCAATTGGATCCTCATACCTACTTTCCAAAAGCTTTGGGTCACTCATACTATGAAGCTCTCCCTTATCCTCTTCGCGGTTCTTACCGCAGTTACCGGGGCCAGTAAGCACATGACTGAGCAAGCAGCACATTCTTGTCGCGTCTTATTATGCGCATATCGCTCTACAATCTCCTGTCACAGTCTTGCCTATTCGAGAGGAACACTGACATCTTTGTAGCGCCCTTAAAGCAGGTGGGAGCTCAGCAGAGTCAACAAGAGCGTAGCCTAGAGCGTCGCGACCCCATTGCCCAGCACCACGAAGCACCGGGCAGGTCAGGCCCATGCAAAGAGTGTGACAGGGTCTACTTCGATTGCGCCAAAAACGTATGATCTCCCTGATCATGAAAAGTCTGATCTAACATCCTTTCTAGTCCGACTTTTGCCAACACCACCGCCAGGCTGATTGCCCGCGATATTGCGGCATGATAGCGTGCGAATACGAGTACCAGGATGTTAGCCTTTCAGAAATCACATTGAGATCGCAGTCTCTTGCTAACATAGCCCAGTGTCACATATGTGGCTGGAACGATTGCCCGTACATGAATGCTTCGCAACCCGAAGCTCAGCCGAACGGTGTTCATCAGGGTGAAGCTCGTCAGGTTGGAGCTCATCAGGGTCAAGCTCAGCAAGAATCGACTGTGGAGCATACTGAGGCTTCACACATGCCTGACAACGAGGTCGAATCTCCGCACAACACTGACCTTTATGACGGCAAACCCGCGACCCGAGCGCAACGAGATCTGGATGACATGAACGTTATCGCCCATCTGGATCACGTTAATGAAGCTGGCGCTGACTGCAACTCATGCACGGACCACTACAATCAGTGCCTCGGGGCCTGTGGTGATTGGTGGTCACCTAATAATCTTCCAAAGGAATGCTACCTATACTGCGAGATCGACACTTGCAAATTTCAGGACTGCAAGAAGAAGTGTCTTACGTGGTCCCACTGTTAGCGAAGGGCGATTCTGGTGGCTGGAGCTGCAACATGAGCTAGTTGATTGCGCAGGATGGAGGTGCATGCAATCTGATAGCTCTAGCCATGAGTAGTGAACTGTAATTGTGCACCCTTCAAGCGGCTGGGTATCCTATCAACTTCTTCCATCACGTATGGCGCAGCTTGTCGCGGCCTGAGTGTGAGCAACGTCATAGTCCAGGCTTGTAGACATTCTCCAGCCAAACATATCGCTTCTCGTCAACGTTTGTTGCATCATAGCCTCCGCGGCCACTAGCTTCAGGAACGCGCTGATTGCTTGCATTAGCACGACGCAAGAACGGCCCGCTCAATCGTACCCGAGGTATGGGCACTGCTTGTGCAACATTCAATCGAAGTACATCCCACTAGAAGGCACAAAATCAAGCATATGCGTGTCTGTCGCCGCACCCTGCTCAGTTGCGGTGCCCCCATATTTTTAAACCCTGTTTTGAACAGCTAAGCGCTTAGTCAAGTTGTCTGTAAACATTCGCACTCGCGATCTTTCAATTTCGGCTCCCCGCACGTATTGCTCGGCCACGGCGCAGGGGTTCAAACGAGGCGGATCGGCGGATCAAAGCCTCTTTCTCGGCAGCGCTAACCGAATACGAAGACAGTGGCTTCCCGACATGGACTAGCTCCAATCTTTTGGGCAACGTCGAGACACCGGTGAGTGGGCACTCGCGACTCGATCATCGTTCTCTCAAACAGCTACTCGTGATTGCTAAAACTATCCCATCATCAGCTTCAAAGATGCTGATTATGGCTTCCCATCATCACTAGCTGTGGTTATTGAGATGGCTACACCAAATGTAAAATCCAACTACGACCGATACGAATTCAAGTTTCGAGCTGGACACATATCGACAACTGGATTATTAGCAAGAGTCTCCTCGGACGCTTGAAACTTGACGTTTCTAAAAATTCATTTTCGCAAAGGCGCTAACACTGGTCTTGTGAAGGGAACCTTACCTCGGGCTCGTGCAAAGTCCCACACTTCACCTTGTAGCAACTTTGTTGAGTGCCGGTTACCCATTCGATACCATTTGTCTATCGTGGGCGCGCTTGCTTGCCTTATAAGTATCGAAGATTGGTCATGAAGCTCTAATGTGAAGCTCGAGTTCACGTAACGCTACAGAGCAATCGTGGAAGATCACCCTTCGTCTGCCAACAGATCTTCATCAGCGAGCCAGCGCACACTGTCACAGCCGACCCCTGCTGGTCCCGTGTTTGAACCCACAGTCCCAGTATTGGCATCGTATGCTAGCCCTTGACTCAATCTTCTTGCTATTGATTCACAATACGAAGGTACCGTTTCACACAATGCTTGCCTATCATGGGAAGAGGCTCGCTTTCGGCAGCAACCGCCCCATTATGGATCTTTGTTGGGCAATATGAAGCCTGCCTCTCTTTGACACAAGTCGTGTGGCTCTTTTTCCCAGTTCTCCAGTTCATCACAGGCCCCGAGGGTCTTTCTTCTTTTCGTCGTTCCCTAAGCACACCTAGCTCCCATGGCTCCACTCAGTTTAATTTGCTTAGCTTTATCTTGCGTATTTTACCTGGTTTGGAAGGCCGTCGAAGTATTTCGTCGTGACAGAATACCGTCCGGTCTCAAGAAACTTCCCGGCCCCAAAGGTATGGTTCATACACTGCGGGCACCTACCCTTTGCTCCGGCACTCATGAGAACTGACTTAGTTGTAGGATACCCGTTCATTGGAGCTGTTCCTGATATACCCGAGAAGAACGGGTTCGTCAAGTTTGCCAACTGGGGCAAAGAATTTGGCCCTATATACCAAGTCAACTTAGCTGGTACCAATCACGTCTGGATATCTTCCGACCAGATAGCGAAAGACCTTCTGTCGAAGAAGGGTTCTATCTACTCTGATAGGCCGCACATCCCTGGTCTGATCGATGACAATAGGACTAGTGCACAGTATCTACCGCTTCTCAGTAAGAATGGTAAGCCTACCAGGACGACGGATGTAGAAAATCCTTGCTAACGGTCCTCAGAAGGATGGATGCGACAGAGAAAGTTCGCGAACGTCATTATGCGTGAGTCAGAAAAGGCAGTCTTCCATCGGTATCCAGAAATCGAGGCAAAGCGCATGCTTGTTGAATTGCTGGATGAGCCAGACCGGTACAACCACGCTCTAGAATCCTTTGTTGCCCGTGTCACTTGTCGCTTGGCTTGGGGACGCAGCGAAGCGAGTGACGAACTCAAGCAACGCGCACGCGAGTTGCTGATTGGAGTCTCTCCTACTGGCGCTTTCGGTAACAAACTTCCTTTCCTGATGGCTCTTCCGGACTGGCTCTCACCTCCCAAATCATGGGAACGGAGACGCGCTCGGACCGAGCGTAGCTTCTTCGAGATCATGCAAGGAGAAGTTGAAAAAGACGCTCGCGAGAAGAAGGCGCCCCAGTCGTGGATGAAGATCTTCCTTGACAGTCGTAGCAAGTGGGGCTTCCAGTATGAGTTGGAAGGCGCTTATGCTGTCGGAATGCATGGTATTGCTGGAGCCTTGACTATTGCTGCGCCGATGCAGACGTTCTGCTTGGCAATGTGCTTCTATCCGCAGTACTTGCCAATGCTTCAGGAGGAGCTGGATCGGGTATGCGGTGACCGTCTCCCCGTTGCGGAGGATCGGCCTAACCTCCCATTCCTGCGCGCTGTTATCCGGGAGTGCCTGCGTTGGCGGCCACCGGTGCCAACCGGCATCCCTCATGCGCTCACTCAGGACGACGAATACGATGGCTGTCACATCCCTAAGGGTAGTGTGGTGCATCCACTCGAGTGGTGAGTAATCTCACTTCTAGTTAAAAACGCAATTCTGACTAAGACATGCGAAAGGGCCGTCGCCCGCGACCCCTCCATGTTCCCAGACTCCGAGGCATTCAACCCACTTCGCTGGGTTGAGCCGGGCTGGCCAACGTACCAAGAACCACTGACTCAGTTCCCGACTATCATCAACTGCTCGCAGTTCGGCTACGGTCGTAGACTCTGCCAGGGTCAGACTGTGGCCGACGAGGACCTTTTGATCGGAATCGGATCAATAGCGTGGATGTTCAACATCTCTAGGGAACACGATTCTGCTATGTCGTCCGTAATAAGCAACTCAATTGGCATGAACGAGAAGGCCTTCATCTCCCAAGAAGAACTCAACCTCGCAGTCGAGGAGCCCAGGCCTCCTACCATGGAAGACGTGCTTCTGTCTAAGTATACTTACCCGGGAGCCTTCCCCTCCAGTCACAAAGAGGTAAAAGGGAAGCTCACCGATCAACGGAAAGAGCTATCGAAGTTCGATCCTGCCAATATCGATCCTACGCTTGACTTTAGCACCTTGCTCATTGCTAAGCCGCTGCCGTTCAAGTTTGAGCTGCAGCCGCGCGATAAGGAACGCGCTGAGAGGGTTAGGAACTTGTTCCAAGAGGGGCGCGAAAAGGGAGATTACACGGAGAGCCGAGAGTTCTGGGGTGAGAATCAAGGAAAGGGTAAGCCGTGTGGATGGGGGAAGGTATGAGGGTAAAACAACACGTGGTAGATAAGGAACGTCTTTGATGTTTGATCGTTCTGTATAAGCGCAATATGAATCGACGTTGATATACGTATCTTTACTACTAGGTTTTTCGTACGGATGCCTCTGAAGGTTGCTCCGCGAAGAAACGTGCAGTGTAACGTCTCGATCGATAGTCGGACATGCCTGCGCTGAACAGGTGGCCCATGCGCTAGCTACGGCGGCCCATTTGTTGCTTCGCGCAGGTCAACGCGACGCGATCCATCCCGCATCGCAGACGCGCGCTCACGTCTCCGTCATCAACAGCGCAGCAGCAGCACCCTCCGCGCCTGATCGTGCGCAAACCCACTGCAGCCATGGGTAAACTCGTGCGCCTCGAGCTTTACAGTAAGTCACGCGCTCGTAATCCCGCTGTTGCAGTGCTGACCCATGTCCCGCAGATTTCAAGACATATCGCGGCAAGCATGTGCTGCCCTTTGGCGACTCGTACTTCACCTCCATCATCGGCCCCAATGGCTCCGGCAAGTCAAACAGCATGGACGCCATCTCCTTCGTGCTCGGCATCAAGTCGGCCTCGTTGCGATCGCGCGAACTACGAGAGCTCGTATACCGCGGCCGCATCATTCAGACTAGCAAGACGGCTGTCGACGAGGCCAATGGCGATCAGAATGGCGAGGCCGACGGTGAGACCCAAGAAGACGGCGAGTCGCAGCAGGGCGATCCAAAAACAGCATGGGTAGAAGCCGTATTTGAGGACGACGCCGAGAACATTCACCGGTGGCGCCGCACGATCACGACCGCGGGCCAGAGCGAGTACCGTATAAACGGACGCGTCGTCACAGCAAGAGCCTACAACGAGGCATTGGAAGAGCAGAGTATCCTGGTAAAGGCCCGCGCCTTCCTCATCCCTCAGGGCGAGGTCGAGGAAGTTGCGAAAAAGCCTCCTAAAGATATCACCCACATGATTGAGCAGATCTCGGGAAGTCTGGACAAGAAGGCCGATTACGAAAGGCTCAAGGGCGAGTCTGACGCTGCCGCCGAAGATAACTCGCAGTTTCTCCTCCGAAAGCGTCAGATCAATACTGAAATCAAGACCTTGGCACTGGCTGAGGCCGAAGCCCAGGCCTATGAGAGGAAGATTGCTGAGCGCGATGACGCGACAGTGACACACATCATGTGGAAGCTGTACCACCACCAGCAAGCCATCGAAAAAGCCAGGGACAAGATATCGCGTCATGCAGAGGAGCTGAAGGAACATCGACGTGGCGTTCAGAAATATCACGACAGGCTGCAAGATGCTACCAAGGAAGAAGCCAAGGTGAAGCGTACCATATCCAAGACCAACAATGATATCAATGCCAAATCGAAAGAGATTGAAGACACCCAGAACGACCTAGTCCCAGTTGAAGAAAAGATACGCCTCACCATGCAGGAACTAGCTAAATTGGAATCCAGGATCGCTTCATTGACCAAGGACCGAGACACGAAGACGAAGGAGATTGCGCAACTCGACAAGAATATCGCGCAAGTTGATAAGGCCGAGAAGCAATGGGAAGCACAGCGCAGGGCCACAGCGGGACAACAAGGCCAAGAGCTTTCGCCTGAGGATGAGCAAGAATACAATCGACTCAGAAGCGAGGTCAGCAAACAGACTTATGCTGATCAGGCCGAGGTCACGAGGCTTGAGCGCGAGATTGGCACTGAGCGGGAACATGCTCGCAATCTCCAGCAGAAGATCGATGGCTTTCAAGCGACCGTGGATAGGCTTGAAGAGGAGATTGCTCAACTCCAGGAACGGCAGAACGAACTCAAGATAACGTTGAAAGACAGGAAGAGCACACGAGCCACAAAGCGTCAAGATCTCAACAAGCTTGAGTCCGACCGGAAGCGCAACAAGGACCAGTCTGACGAGTTGAATCAAGAACTTCGCAAGGTTCTATCGAAGCTTCAATCTGCCGAGATGGACCGTCACGAGACTAATAGGGAACGAGCCTTGCGCGAACACGTTTCAAAGATGAAGCGCACCTTTGGGTCGAGCGTGTATGGGCGGTACAAAGACTTGATTAAGCCCAAACAGAGGAAGTACGACGCTGCCATCGGTACGCTACTCGGCTGGCACATGGATGCCGTACTTGTAGACACGGATAAGACTGCAAGAGACTGCGTTCAATTCTTGAAGGAGGGAAAGCTCGGGCAGATGAGCTTCTTGCCTCTCGACTCGTTGACCGTTCAGTCGGTGAACCAAAACCTAAAGGGCATGCACGAAGGTATGCGTCTAGGTATCGACTGCATTGACTACCCACCTCATCTCGAACGCGCCATTTCGTCGGCTTGCGGCGACAGTGTCATTTGCGACACGCTCAAGCTTGCCCAGCACATGTGCTTCGAGCGTAAGATTGGCGTCAAGGCGGTGACTCTCGATGGTTCCGTCATTTCCAAGGGTAACACCATGACTGGTGGTACTATGCACGGCTCAAATCAAAAGCAGCAATGGGGTGACGCGGAGATCGAGGCGCTGAGGCAAAACGCGCAGAAATACCAAACACAGATTGCCAGTCTTACCAGGGCCGATGCGTTCGATAGAGATATTGACGAGCTGCAAGTGGAGCTCAATGATCTGGATGATCAAACGCGCCGTCTGGAAGACGAAATCAAGACACTCGATCGAAACATCAGCAGCAAACAGAAGGAGCTAACTCATGACAAGAACATCTTGAGGCAAGAGAAACCGAAGCTCAATGATGTGAATAAACGATTAAGCAATAGGGAGCAAGACCTAGAGGAGAAGGCGGATGCGGTTCATCAAGTCGAGGATACTGTGTTTGCAGCTTTCTGTTCACGACTTGGCTACGCCAACATTCGCGAATATGACTCCCAACAAGGCTCCGCTCAACAGGAAGCGTCACAAAAGCGGCTTGAGTTCAGGAAACAGCGCACAACGCTCGAGTTTATGCGAAAGAATATTCAGCAACAAATCGACCACATTGATACGCGCATATTGACCGCACAGGCCAAGCTCGACCGTGATCAGGCTGCCCTCGACGGCCATAAAGCTCAGCGGGAAGAGCTGCAGAATACTATTGATGAGCTCCAAGCAGAACTAGAGACACTGCAAGAGAAGTTAGCTGCCCTAGAGAAAGACAAGTCCGATAAGAGCCAAGTCGTGAAGGACGCTCGCGCTAAACTGGACAAGCGCAACGAAAAGGTCCGGCACATCGAGGCAGACGTTCAGCAACAGGAAATCGAGATTAAGAACCGAGCTTCGGAGCGCTACAGTCTGCTCAAGAAGTGCCGTCTTGAAGAGATCGAGATACCGCTTACTTCGGACTCTGTGCCACTAAAATCGCTGCCTATGACAGACGCCGTGCGTCAGCAGGATCCCGACGCGATGGACGTTGATGAACCGGATGAAACGCAGGCCGAGATCGAGGACTACGGCATCGAACCTGACTTTGAGAAGCTGGACGAGGAGCTCCGAGAAGAAATCGACGACATTCTTGCAAAGGTAACCTCAGATCACTATATCCATGTGCAGGTGCTAACCCCAGGTAGGAGGACAGCGATGACGACAAGATCCAAGCGGAAGCCGCTGCCGCCCTCAAAAAGACCGAAGACCAGCTCATAGACCAAATCGTTTCCCTCGACGTAGAGATCAACAAAGCCACCCCTAACATGAAAGCGTCAGAACGTCTAGCTGTCGCACGGGATAAGCTACATGAGATTGACGAGGATTTTAAGACGGCGAAGAGGAAGGCTGAGGAAGCCAAGGCAGCCTTCGAGACAATCAAGGACGAGCGAATGGAGCTGTTCATGAAGGCCTACGACCATATCCATGACAACATCAAACCCGTCTATATGGAACTCACAAAGAGCTCGCAATTCCCTATGGGCGGCACTGCCTACCTTGATCTCGAGGACAGCTCGGAGCCGTATCTCGCGGGTATCAAATACAACGCCATGCCGCCGCTCAAGCGCTTCCGCGACATGGAGCACCTGTCTGGAGGCGAGCGCACCATTGCTGCCCTGGCACTCATATTCGCTATCCACTCGTACCAGCCCAGTCCGTTCTTTGTGCTCGACGAGGTCGATGCTGCGCTGGACAATGTGAACGTCGCGCGAGTGGCCAGATATGTGACCAGCCATGCGAGGCCAGGCATGCAGTTCATTGTCATCAGCCATAAAGCGGGGCTGTTCCAGGAGAGTGAGACTTTGGTTGGCATTATGCGGGACCAGGCGAAGATGAGCAGCAAAGCTATTAGTTTGGACGTAAGTTTTCCTCATCACTTTGTTGAACGAGATGCTGACTATAGTGCAGTTAAGGAAGTACCCTGCGGCTGCGGCGGCTTGACATAGCGACGGTGCTTGATTGTGTATGATGTGTCTTTTCATGCAACTTCATGAGTACGTTCACACGCAAAGTGCATTGCAGTCGTTTGTCGCGGGCGAAGTCGGCCGTCATAGCTCTATTCAAACATTTGACTTCAGCAATATACCTCGTTCTCGTGTCAACTTAACTACTATTCCCAAGGAAGCGATAGTGCTCCGTCGACATGCCAATGTTCCCATCATCCCCGGCTTTACCCCCGATTATGCTGTTTCTGACTACTTGGCCCGGGCACACGTAAGCAATCGTATTTGGCCTCACAGCGAGGTGTAGATGAAAGCTTAGATTTATCCGCTTTAAAACGTCTCGACGCAGTGAACGTTGAGATTGATAGTTGGACGAATTCCATGATACTCGCCAAGTGCTCGTTGCGGTGGCCAGATCAGTTGGCATCCTGGAAAACGTGTGCCGTTACAGCACGCCTGATCTATTACTACTGCCCTTTCCCATCTTTCTGATGAGGAATAGCTTGGCTTGGGTGTGATTCGGACATGATGTTCAGCCAAGCACCTGGGCATGCAAGCTCACCAAAAGTTGGTCACAAAGTGCGGGGTACGGGGTCAGGAATGCTTGTAGCACAAGTCGAACCGGTCGCTCAATATAAAATAGGGTACGTCCGCTGCGTAGCACGGTTCTTGTACTCTAGTGGCGGACTCTTGGTTTCTTGCGGGAGCTTAGGTTTGCCATTGTGACTTGTACCTCAGCACCCACCATCATGCACGCCAAGGACGTTGAGGGAACAACAAAAGAGGAGAAGCACGCACCGGAGGCCGTGGAGAAGCTGGATGAAGTGCTCGAGAAGCCAGACATAGAAAGCCATGGGGATTCCACAGGCGCAGTCGCAAAAACAGACCCTGAGGAAATTAGGCTTGTTAGGAAGATTGACTGGCGTCTCATGGTAAGTCGACATTCTAGCGTCGCTTTCAACCGAATACGAAACAAGTAGACTAGACTAACGCTTCTCATAGCCAACTTTATGGGTCATGTACTTTCTCAATTATGTGGATCGCAATACAATTGCACAGGCACGACTGAACGACTTGGAAGAGGATCTAGGGATGGACGGCGACACGCAATTCAATACAACTGTCAGCATGTAAGTGCGGTGTTGGTTCCCACTGATCGGGGTCTTCTCTATACTGACATGGGCAGTCTCTTCGTCGGCTACGTATTGATGCAAATCCCGTCAAATATGCTCATCACGCGGATCAAGCCCGGTTACTACATGAGCGCATGGATGTTGATTTGGGCCGTCGTTTCTGGATGCACTGGGCTTGTGCAAAACTATGCTGGACTCGTGCTGTGCCGCTTCTTTTTGGGCATTACTGAAGCACCTGTAAGCCGCGGCGTTCTCCTCCGTCCGCCGTGCAACATGGTTTACTAAAGTCATAACAGTTCTACCCTGGCGCCATCTACATGCTCTCAATATTTTACACACGTAAGGAAATTGCAACCCGAATTGCATTGCTGTACGCCGCACAGATCCTTGCGACTGGTTTCACTGGGCTCCTTGCGGCGGGGATATTTGCTGGCTTAGACAATAAACGGGGCATTGATGGATGGCGTTGGCTTTTCATTCTGTAAGTGGTCCTTCGAAATTGTATAGTATGATGCCGTCTCTTACAATTTCAACAGCGAGGGCGCATTCACTGCCTTGGTGGCGCTCTTCGGCTTCTGGCTCCTTCCAAATGAACCCCTGACCACGCGCTGGCTTACCCCTCGTGAACGGGAGCTCGCTCATGCACGCATGGAGCGCGACAAAGTTGCAGATTCAGGAGAACCAGCCAGCATGTTGGAAGGTCTCAAACAAGCTTGCAGAGACAAGAGGACATGGCTGTTCTGCTTGATGCAAAACTTTCATCTAAGTGCTTGTTCATTCAATTCCTTTTTCCCAACGTAAGCTCCGTCACTCTTTTCAATTGCCAGCATTTCGCTTGCTGATAATTCCATGTTAGGGTCGTGAAGACACTTGGGTTCAACAACACCGCGACTCTCCTTATGACCGCCCCGCCCTTCGTTTTTGCGGCCGCCGCAGGCATTTTTACCGGATGGAGCTCTGGCCGGATGCATGAGCGCACATGGCACATAACGATCGGTCTTTCAATAGCCATAGTCGGCTTCGTAATTGCAGCCAGCACCATGAACACTGCAGGCCGCTACGTCGCCTGCTTCATTTTCCCCGTAGGCGCATACTCCGTGAACTCCGTAATCATTGGGTGGGCATCATCGACATTGAGTCAGACCAAAGAAAAGAAAGCGGTATGTTGATTGCTTCTCTCTTCGCGTTTCGGCGAATCCAAGCAGCTAACTCGGCCAAGGTTGTCCTTGCCATGACGAACGTTGCAGGCCAGATTGGATACATTTACGGAGCATATCTGTGGCCAAAGTCGGACAGCCCACGGTATGAAATCGGGTTCGGTGCATCAGCGGCCTTTGCACTGTGCTCTATTATCTGTGTTTGGGCTGTCCGGTTTATGTTGATTAAAGAGAATCAACGGATCCGGACGTCAACGTCGGAGAGGTTGAATCTTTATGGATATTGAATGATACGTTTCGATTTATTCCGCGCATGGATCGGAAACGTTGAAACGAGGATAGACATGATTGCGCGGAAACCTTAGGATAGGTTTGTGTAGATTACATGGTTAACATCTCGTACTGTTGCGTTCAAGGTACTTTGCCCCGAGCGTGTCACCCAACTTCCATATACTGCTCATCTATGCCTTCAATGTCTCGGCCAGGGCGCAGATCCTCCTTCCACAGGTGTAAAAGTCCGATAGGCTCATAAAATCTGCTTGGGCCTATCACTGGGAATCAAGAGAGTGAACATGTCAGGGTAGAGAGCAACTCGGCATGCTACCTCCTAGGATCCAGGAGCGTATGTGCTATAGTATGAATGCAATGGTCTTCTGCATGTTGCATCGCTCTTCTTCTTTGTGCATCGGCTTTTGCGTCTCAAATACGTAAGCAAACAACAAAGTGAGTGACTCAGTGAGATTGCCAGCAGTTCTCTCACCACAGAGAGGTTCAGCCTCACGATGCTAATCGCTTACGGTTAGAAGTGGCTAGGCTACATACCGCTGCCTAACGCCTACCTCAGACATGCGATTCAGACGTACAATCAGTCATACCAATATTTTATATCGTTCGCTATACCTTCACAATGTGCTACTGCATCACTTTAGAGCTCAATCCATCAATGGTGGCCCTAACATGTGAAGCGGGCGCCAGACTAGCCCCCGCAATCGCGCCCCCACTTCACCATGCCAGCCCACCATCGACTTTCACCCGCCTACCTGCAGAAGTTATAGTCCAGATCGCACAAAGTCTCAACGACCACAACTCGCTAGTCCGGCTCGGTCGCGCAAACCGACGACTCAACAACTTACTCACACCCCTCATCTACTCCAAATTCTCCACCAGCTTCGGCAAAGAAACACTCTTCCTCCGGACCCTGACATCAGAGCCGCAGCTCGCGGGCCATGTCAAGCATCTCCGCTGGATCGACGAATCCGACAACTGGGACGAGGACAAGGAAGAATATGAGACGGAAAGTCGCCAGAAAATAGCTTCGAAGCTCTCATCCCTACCTTCCCTCTTCCACAAACAACTCGCCATCGCAGTCGAACATGCCGTAGGCGGCACCCTGCACGTCTCCTTCCTCGCAGCCGCGATGAGCCTAACACCTTCCCTCGAAACGCTCGACGCCACCTTGACAACGAGTAATTCGTCCCGCATCCGCTGGAACGAGGCTGTCTGGATAGGCGCTCCACATCAGTTCGCCCATCTCCACACCATCAAGATCAAGCTCCGGCGCTCGTCGGGCATGGATCTCAACCCCCTCTTTCTCCTCCCTGCAGTCCGCACGCTCGACATGACGAACGTCGACCGCCTGAAATCCGACCCGCAGAAAACAATATGGCTGCCGCTGCCGGAGAAGTCTTCGAATGTGGAAACGCTGCTTTTCAGGGAGAGTAACATCGATACTGACATAATAGTCCCAGCGATAAAGGCGTGCAAGCGGCTGCAGACGTTCCTCTTCCAGCACCACAGCAAGTGGAGTCCGTTGCGGAAGATCGACATGGCGCAGCTGAGTTCCGCACTGCTTGTGCACCGCGACTCGCTGCGCGATGTGGGCGTCATGGATCGTCTTAAGGAGGAGAATGAAAGTGCTATAGTGGATGACTTATTCCACTTACCTCTTCTGGAGAACTTGCTTCTCCCGTTGTGTAATTCCCATGTCAAGGGCAGGACGGCGCTCAGACTGCCTCCCAAGACGCGCTGGTTTGCGCAGACGGTCAAGGGAGATAGGAAGGCGTTTGAGGGGTTTCTGGCGCTGTGTTCGCGGAGCGTGACGCAGATGAAGGTGGAGAATCCGCTGTTGCAGAGTGTGACCCTGTGGATTGCGGAGAAGGAGTTTGCGACGAGTCTGGTGACGTATATGGCTAGGCAGGCGTGTAAGAAGGAGGGGGTCCAGTTAGAGTTGAGAGTGCTTGACAAGAAGAGCGATGTCAGCACTGCGGTTGTGGATTGGGAGAGAGGTGTTCCGGAGCACACATGAGGCTTAGCGATACATATGCATGTGGCGGCGTTGGTGAATATGGCTTCCTGTTCTTTTATCATGTCTTCTGAAGGAAACTCGCAATTCCTAGCCTAGTCAGGCGTCATCAAAGAATCGCTCCGAAGAAGCTCGGCAATATCAGATTGATATCTATACCCTATATAAGTAGAAGAAGAACATAGAAGATACTTAACTCCGCCATGCAAAGTATTGGAAACCAGAAGCTGGTGGGTCTGCAAGTGCACATTTGTCCTTAACAGCGCCTCAACCCGCGAGACAAACAGCAGTATGTATTCGGGTCCAAGGAGCTAACATTCGTCGAATCGATACGGTCGCGTGATGTCAACCAGCCGAGCAAAGTGTACCGTACGCCACTGGGCACAGTGGCAGAAACTCATTCGCCACACTTAAGAAACGTAAAGCATGCGGGTAATATACCATTTTCCTGTGTGCTATAAACAGCTCCTGCCTACCTCAAAGTAGAAGCACTTGGTCGCAACCGCCGCTGTAGCGAAGCCAAGCCTGAGAACCTACCCGATCTTTGATGCTCATTGCGTACATGACATGTCGCCCAGTACAACGTCCGTCTCTTCTGGAATCTCACCCATATCCATCCCCCAATGTCGCCTTCCTCGCATTCCTGGCCAAACTATATGATCAGGCTATCCATCGCTCATCGAGCCAGCTTACGGCAGTGTTTCCATCTCGCATCCGTAGCTACCTCCCTCGCGACACCTCGCTTGCCATGGAAACAATACCCTCCTCGCGTTGCAGATGCGAGAAATTGCCTTTCGTAGCTAGTCTCGCCAGCCAGACAGCACACAACGCACGACGTGACATGCTCTGGCGCCCCGCACACATGCTGATGCCGCAGCTTGCTGACGGCGGAGAACATCCGCGCGTATTATACCAGTAGAGCACGCGTCTTAGGGAGTGTCACCGAGTCTCGCTTACCGTTTGAATACGTAGATCGGTAAGAAAGGCGTGTGCAGGGCTGAGCTAAGAGTGTGTGGACATCGCGTGCAGCCTCGGCAGGAAACAATGACAAGCAGGCAGGTTGCCGCACCGTAGTCGTAGCGCAGCGTGACGCCGAGAGAAAGAAACGTAGCGTAGCGAATGAAGGCACCGAAGGCTGAGCGGTGGAGGAGCAGAGAGCCAGCAAGCCGCGCAGCCACGCAGCAGGGAGGGAGGCAGGGAGATCACCAGTGCATTGCTTCGAGACCACCGCAGCATGGTAGATGCATCGGCAAGATGCTAAATGGCCTTGTCGAAGCAGTCAACTCGCAAGTCGTCATCGCGGTGAATCTCCCCACCCACTCATGCCATCTTTACGCCCGTAATGCACGCTTCGCATGCATCCATGCCCTTTTGCCCCGTCAAAAGCAATATAAAGCCCGTACGTGTCGTTACCCCTGGCCCAGACCGAAACGCCCGGTATCTACACGATGATTCCCCAACTCTAAACCGCTTACTGATGCACGCCGGGGCCCCGAAGAAGGAATTTACCTTCACAAGGGTAGGCGTAGTCAATCTCGAGTGCCCATTCACGAATGGAAGCCGGTACACATGCATATTCCGTACATTAGCTATCTAAATGTATAAAACTGGATGAGAGTATACGAGAGACGGACTGTCCGATCAGCATCCCTAGTAGCGTGGTATGGCCTTGATTGCCGTCTGGCTTACTGAGCACGCAGGGTCCACCACATTGGTGCATGCACGCAGACGCCTTCCCAAATCCGGTCAAGTAACATGAAGTATGTATAGCAATAGCTGGAGGGAACCGCTCAGGTATATTTAAAGTTCTCATATATTGAAAATGACAAAATGTTACAGAACGAAATGGACGTCGATAGGTAGATACAGTAAATCTTCCAACGCCAGGGTATTCTCGCAAATAAAGCAAATGTAGTGTGTATGCCGATGGTCATTTTGTTGGCGTGCTTATTCAGGGGCGATAACACCGAGTGTATGGATCGGTCAGAGCGCTGCCCTGTGAACGAGCTTGAATCATGGCCATGGTAGGTTGGTGGCATTGACGTTCGGTACGTTCTTTCGTTGCCCGGAGCACGCGATGGTGGTCATAGTGGCCTTGTTCTCGGACATGGAAGCGCAAACCCCTAAACTTGGCCTTCAGCGGGGCGTTTGGCATGCGTAGAAGCTCTGTAGAGGCTTGAACAAGGGTGACCGCGCATCAGAATACAAGAAGCGTCCTCCGACACAGGTGGCTAAGATATTAGTCACCCGTGATGGTACGTCGTCCTGAAAAGGCAATATGAGAGGTGCGAAGGACGGACAGGTCCATTGTCGACTATAGTAAGAAGTCGTGCTAAGGCTTATGGATGCGGCTGAAGTGTCGTTGAGACGAATACCGATGGCCTGTGCGGATCATGTGAGCTGATGTCGTTTTGCGGTGGTGACAAGCTCTGTTGGTCATCGATTACCAACGCTCGAAGACAGCATCAACCAAGGTGAATCTTCCTTGCTGTGATGCCTGCCGGTGTAGCTGACATGACATAAATCCATCTGGGATGCTTTCCGCAACCAGGCCAATATTGCTCACTCCAGGGAGGCTTGGGTGGCCCGCTCCATGTTGCAACCAGACTCCAGTAGCTTTTTTGCAGCTTCCTGGATAGACTGTCCCTCCTCTTTCATTGTACGCAAAGCTGTCTCCAAGGTTTGCGTCCGTATACGTAGTCGGCCGACCTCGGCTCTGAGTACGTTGATGGTCTCGGCCGACGATGAGTTTGTGGTGCCCGGAGTATGCGCGAGGATGATTGAAGGAGGAGGACTTCGGTCCGTATGCTCGGAATTAGAGCCAGTTACCATGGCCTCCTCCAAAGTTTTGATCCGCTGCTGTAATTCCGTCTTCTCCGCGTCCCAACGCTTTTTGTCATCAGCACTCTGTGCCTGTAGACGATTTGCCATCTCCATGATTCGCATATACTGGTTTCCGTTCGAGACCAGCTGTCGCCGACTTTCGTCCCTACTTTCCTGCAGCTCTTCCACCTGAAACTCCAATGATACTACCTGTGCTTGCAACTTCTCTTTCTCGTCTGTCAGAGAATTAATCTCCACGTCAGTGACTTCGAATTTCTTTTCCAACGTCGCACACTTCGTGCGCTGTCGCTCGAGTTTCTGCAGCAAACTGTCGTATTCGCGCTGAAGGGTCTGTAGGGCTATCGTTTTGACACTGATCTGGTGCTGCAAGTCCTGTAAAAGGGCCGATTGCGCTGAAGTTTGCGTCGCTGCTGCTGCTGGCGGTGAGACAGGCAGTAAGGTAGCACCGCTAGGAAAATGCATCGATGATGGAGAGGGTAGGATTGCCGATCGTGCGGGCTGTGATGCATGCATTGGTGACTGTGGTGACATGAACATTGAGCCGGAAGAGGACACTGTATGGTGTGGAGAGTTGTTCATGGGCGGCACTTCGTTACTGTAAGGGTTGCTTCGGCTGGGTTCCGCTGGATTGGCCGGATTTGCAAAGGTAGTAAAACCATGGTAGGGAGGTACGTAGGGCCTGGTAGGCGGAGACTCTTCCTCGCGCGTTTCGGGGTAATTGAGCCCCCTCCTCATGCTTGAAGTCGTATCAGGCTGATACTTGTCTTGAATGGGGCTGTGCGGAGAGGGATTGTGAATATGATCGCGTAGATTCGAATTAGCCCACGACACTGTGTCGAGCGCCCACTGAACGACCTCCTTTATAGAAACTTCCTCAGGGTTTGGGGACTGAAGCATTTGGATCAGCGGCGAAGTAAATCTTATGGCGACAGTGGCAATTGAGACTGAGTTCTGACGAGATACGGGGGGCAAACCTACTTCTGTGGATGAATGATGGTCTTTCTGCAACAGTAATCTCACTCTCGAGTCAAGAGATTGTAGTTCGGCGGCAAGTTTGTTCAGTAAGACTCGGGCGTGAACGCACTCTTGGCCCTTGCAGCCCGATGAACAACAGACCACGTCCCCTGCCGTACGAGGCGCGTGCTCAGGGCCGACTTGTGACCGATACGCGGGGATACTAATGGGCCGTGGAGAAAGATCCCGTTCAAGTGCCAGGGAACTTGAGTCTGTGCGGTTTCTAATCAGCTTTGAACTATGAATACGACGTCGAGTTTGGGTGATGCACAGTTGAGCTCCGAATGGGCAATCGGCGGCGTGCGCTAAGTGCCACCAAACATGTTGACAGCGGTAAGCGCGCTAAAAACAGGCAAATATAGATGCAAGTGGAGATTTGATCCTACCTCGAGCGCTTTTCGGCCATTGCCCTGCGAGAAGGTGCTGGGCCGGATCGGAAAGGGACTGAGACCTGGGTCTAAATTCGGAAAGGCGATGCGCCGAAAGTAACGACTGTGTCGAATCCGTGAGCGGTTCTGCAGTGCTACAAGTTGGAGTGTACAGCGGAGGTAGCCTTCGATGGCTTAGGGACTTGCTGTCATGAAGATGGTGGCCGGCATGTTGCGGGAGCGGGGGCCGCTCGTACGTAGGAAAAGCGGGAGAAGCCCGGCGCTTGGGATGTGAGTCGATTGGGTCCTCCGTTTCCCATGGCCTCTTCCTTCCTATCCCCGAGTCCATGAGTAGGCGCCCGTCGAAAGTGGAAGCAGCGTCTAAGGTGCGCCATTCGGTTGTTGAGGCGAGATCCGAGTCAGATCAGCAGTTACTGTATAGGCAAATAGCCATGGCCAATGCGTACTGGAGACTGCAATGCTAGAGGATTAGTAAGGCGAATGTGAGTGGTGTAGAGGCCGAGATGCCCTTTCGACGCTTGGCGACGATGCTTATATGAGCCTGCAGGAATTAGGTACGGAACCGAGCTTGGGGTAGGTATACGCACTCAGTCGTTGGCATGGCAAAATTATCAATATGGCAATAGAGTTATGACGTGTGCGACAGACGCGTGCGATATCCCGGGCAGCTGCTGCGCGTGCTCCGATGTTACGATGACAGTTTCGTGGCTCAACGCGCCTTTGGTAGAGGGAACCTGCGGCCGTATCCGCAGATTGTTTCAGGTCGGAGCTTGTCCGTCAATTGATGTTGTGGGTACAAAGTTCCTCAGTGTGAGGTGACAAACGATTGGACAAGTCACTAAAATCAGTCACGAGTGATGATGTTTTGTGCAGGGCCTCGAATGCTGGATTTGAACGGTACCATGGCCAGAGAAGGCTTCTTCGCAAGGAGATACCACAGTAGATGCAGTGTGTGGCAGACGCACAGCAGCAACGTACGAATCCCACCGATAATTGTCGTGTGAAGGGGACTTTGCTGACGATGAGGGTTTGTCAGATCGGGCTAATCTACATGCGACTAGCATGGATTACTAAACGACTCCCTGCGGCGGGAGAGGCACGATTGAGTGGTCTGATGTCAGAGCCATGGTTTCCCCGAATATGCCGGTGTGTTGCAATAACGGCCGGACTGTTGCGGGTAGGCGGCAGCGCGCGTCAGAGCGCGGGATCCGCGGGACTTTGACTTCACCATCACTTTTGTAGCAGGTACACGCCGTCAAACGTGGCGGACATTGGAACTTGAAACACAAGGAATGTGAATACAAATCAGATAAGCTTCACTGCATGCTCGTAATCCAGCTTTGAACCGGCCGCGTCATTGTATCTTGGCTCGAAACGATGTGTTCATCCCTTACTTTCCAAGAGTTACGGATCTCTTCGGATACTGTGTACGGGTAGAATCCTCTGCTCTCTAGAGCTAATAAGCGACGTAGCCAATCACCCGCGCTTGATCGACCCTTTCATCCGTCGTTATGATCAAATCTATGTTCCGATCAGTCCTTAGCCTGTCCTGCCCGTGCATTTGTCCACAAGTATACAGTGCTATCATAAGCTTCATCGAACCCTCCAAAAGCAACATCGGCCGAGTCTACCGGAGCTCACCAAGATGCCTAATGGGATGCCTCAAATATTATAGTTTATCGACTAGGCTAGATAGCTTGTGCAAACTACAATCGAGTAGTCTTAGTACAACCGCCATGCCTCCTCATCTGCCCCGGAGTCTACGTCAACAACGTCGTGGGCAATTGTTCGCAGCCGCTCCTCCACCCAGAGCTTCTCTCTTGCGACGACGTCAGCTTCCGTTGCCTGCATGATTTGTAGCTCGCACAAGAGCCCCTCGACTAGAGACTGGCATGTAGACACAATATGCGCAATGCTCGAACCTGTCACTGTTGGAGGTAGAGTGTCCAGGTCCCGAGAGAACGCCGTCAATTTGCGTGTCATGGCCGCATGTTCTTCTTTCCATGCGTCTCCTAATTCTCCGAGAGATTGCATTGCAATCCCTCGTCCGCCGGAGCCATCACGAGCCGACCACACTTCATCTGCCGTGGAAGACCACTTGCTGAAACCTTCCACAACATGAAAGAAGCGACCACCAGGATTCAAGAGCGAAGGCAGCTCGTGCAGAGGGCCCGACAGTGCTTCAATGCACTGAACGAGCCCGGAAAAGGAGTTGGATCCATTCCACTCACGCAGAGCCAGCATGTTCTTCTGTTCCTGTCCAAAGCGTTCCTTTTCCTGCATGATCTGGTACAGGCTTGCTACTTCATCGAATCTCATTCGCAAGACTTCCCGAGCGCTCAATTCCCACTGTCTCATTGTCAAAGCCGATGGTTCATGCAACAAATGTAATTGTAGGAGTTCGTTTTGGAGAGCAACTATCTCTGGCGGAAGAACATGATTGACAGGTTCCGGAGCATGGATGAAAGTCGAGGTAGGTGCTTTGCCGGTCTTTCTGGGAGTAAAGTGCTGCTGCAAAGTAGAAAAGGCAGGACGACCGAGTTTCTTGGGCTCGTGTCTCTGAGCTTCACATGGTTCTTTTACTTGGGCACGATCCTCAGGTCTACTAGCTGTTGCGCGACCGAGTGGTACGACGGGCTTTGATCTTGTGCTAGCAGAGCGTGTCAACCCATCGGGACGAGCAGAAGTTCGCACGAGACCAGTAGCGGTCTCCTCATGGACATCATTCGATGGTCTAGTGTGCGCGGACGCTACCAGTAGAGATTTCGGCCTCTCCCCGCGGGTTGCGACTTTATCGGCTTCTCCCGTCTCCTTACGAGCGCCAGTCGTCGTAGTGGTCGATTGCGTGCGGGTGTGGAGTCGGCCAGGTGGTGGCATTGCTTGTGCTGCAACGGTAGCGCGCCTCACCGATTGCGTTCGGCTCAGCCCTGTGGAAGCGGGCGGCTTGTTGTTCACATCCGTGGGACGTGATGAATGCGCAGTCCCATTTATGCCTGAGACACTTGTGTCTTGCTGGGACGCTCGGGTCTGGTACAACGATCGTGGTCTCGGCCGGCGGGGTTGTGCGTCTCCTAGACTCGCTTGCTGTGATATTGTGTCATTTGATGTGTTGTTGAGGCGTGTGACATCTCGGTCTATCTGAGGCGATTCGATTTCAGCGACGCCATTTCCCCTCGCAACAGCTCTCGGCAAGCCCCGCTGGGGTAGGAAGCTCCGCCTATTCGGCGTATCGCCATTTGCATCTCCGGAAGGCGGGTTTTGAGAGTTGGTACGTTTGTGTATCCGGCTCAGTGCAGTGGTGTTGCCGTTGTGCTCGTCAGAAGCCGACTGTCCGAGACGCTGTAAAGATATTAGCACCGCGAGGTAAGAATTATGCGCACAGAGTAAGTACTTCTGACCGGGAATAGGTGCTATTGAGTCTACTGAGCTCGCTTCGGGGCTTTGCCGCAGAGCTAGGTGTTGGTATGGGCATTGCGAGTGTAGAGCTGCATTCGAAAGCGTTCGTCGGCCCTGTAAACAAACGAACGGTTGTCAATGCGATCTTATCTTATCAGTGATGACTAAGCGAGGCATCACCAGAAACACAACATTATAGTGATTGAGTATGAAATTCCAATTGGGATGGTAGTCTATGGGATATGGAGTTCTATTGCACCTTCAGTAGGTGCAAAAGGTACCGAGTGCTTACAGGAGACGCATCCCGAGCGATTGTCCAGAGTGAACAGCACCAGAAGAGAGCTCTACCTCCTACGTGTCCAGCGAGTGAAGACCGAGACTTTCTTTCGCTTGCTATCAAGCCGATTCCAACTCTTTTCTCTCCTAAGCAGGTCCCCACTAGAGACTGCCTCGGCGTGCGGGAAAAGAGACTCCCTCAATAGCCGGATAATCCACGAACCAACTGACCCTCTCCTGCGCTTGCGCGTTGACCAGTCCGCAAGGCAGCTCCCGTCCATCATCCTTGTCGAATATTTCCTTCATGATGTCCTTCTTTCCTCCGCCTGTAGCGACGAAGGCAATCTTGATGCCATGTGTCACAACCGGGAGCGAGAGCGTGATGCGTTTCGGCGGAGGCTTGGGCGAGTCCTCGATCTTCAGAATCCACGCATCGGTCTCGCGCAGAAGCGGAGAGCCAGGAAACAAGCTGCAGGTGTGACCATCCGGGCCACATCCCAGTAGGAGCAGGTCGAACATGGGCAGTCGCACGCTGTCCCGCGCCGCGAAGACGCTGACGAGTGTCTGTTCGTACTGGTCTGCGAGTTCCTGCGCATCGTCGAGGTACTTGACGTCGATTGGAAAGACCTTGGGTTGGCCGAGCTCGGCAGGGATCTTGTCCAGAAGTTCCGCCTTCACCAGCCGGTGATTGCTGTCTTCGTGGTCGAGAGGCACGAGACGCTCATCAGCGTAGAATATCTCCCACTTGTCGAACTGAACCTTGGCTTCGCCGTTCGATTCTTTCAGGAGTGCTTGGCCCAGGACCTTGGGCAGCGACCCGCCAGATACGGCCACCCGGAACACTCCATGGCGACTTATCGCGGCGTTCTGCGCTTCCAAGACGTATGTGCGGAGGCTCGGTGCGAGGTCGTCGATGCCCTGGAAGGCATAAAGATTCGGCGGTTTTCCCATTGTGTGCGCGGTAAAGTAAAGTTAGGTGAGGTGGAGCTGGCGTGGGTGCCGCGGAGGGGCAGGGCAGTGGCCGATAGTGGGGTCGTATGTTTGTTTCAGTCGCGCGCCGTCAGCTTTGCGATATGGACGCGGGGTTGGACGCGCAGGGTGTGTGTTGGCTTATGAAGAATTTGTGCGGACCACCGGTATATCTGGGCTGGGCTGCTATGACAGCATCTGTAAAGTGAGTGTCGACTGGTCGGGTTGTGGCGCCGGTCCGTTTTAGGCCAGCCTTGCAGCGCTTTCTACCACCACTGCCGCTTAGCATTATGGACGCCGCCATACGCGCGCTGGCTTTGGAGTAAGAGTCTCTCGAAAGCGCGGTACATTATGAGCGGGCCCGACTTTATATAGGTTCCAACACAGGCACGCGCACGACCTCAGCTCAAGAGTTCGCGTGACGAGCAGGCGGCCCATCGAGGGGCAGATCAGATGACGAAAGCGCTCGCTATGAGCCGGCGCTTCCTACGCTAACTAACCCCGCCTCTACCAAGCTGCGAACTGGGTAGAACAAAGTCTTTCACGGCCTTCATTTTCGACACGTGGATGTCTGTCGCTGTGGGACGAGAGATAATGAGCTTCCTGGTTGCTACTAGACGGAGACAAAGTGGAATAAAAACCAGAAAAGAAATCAGGGAAGCATTCTCATAAGAGATCGTGATGTGTCTGGATGTAGCATAGCATATCGAAGTGATCCTGCAACTACACTATAATTCGTCTCAAGAAAAATTAGCATTGTAACCACCCAGCCTTCTAGACCTCAAGGGTGTCGCGTACCCAAGCTGTCTGGTCACCTTGACAACAAACTGAAAAGAATTCATGTTTTTCCCTCAAGAATTGTGTCTTCCCCACATATTGTATGAAACACCAGCCGAGTGAGTATAACGCAGCCAGAAACGCTACGGTCAGATTCATCAAAGAAATAGGAGCAACGCACTCCTTTGACGCCTCTTAGTACCAGTCCACCAATGTCAATTGTAGAGTGTTTTGCTAACATATTGGACAAAGATCAGGTATTATATCTGCTCGAGTCTGGACCTGAATGCGTTGCGGGATTCAAGCAAACGCAAGTATGCAAGCTATCATGATGCTGTCCTCGTCATTTAAAGCAGACCCGACTTTGCATCGCATCTAGACTGCGAGCGTCCCAATCTTGCCGAGAGTGTCATGGGAAGCATTGCCAACCCATATACTACCGGAAATGTTCTCTACGTTGTATAGCGTTCATCGTGTGTGGATATTCGTTTTGCGATCCTGGGGGTAGATGATTGAACAGTTGAGTAGGTACCATGAGCTGATGTGGTGTGGTGCTCAGCGGTTCTGAGTTGGGCAACTGGCGCAAGCATGGTGGCCTTCGCGCGCGCGTGCATAGGCCAAGTCAGGCAGTACATTCCCCATGTAGGTTAGCCATTGGGCATTGATGCGTCGCTGGAGACCACATGTTGACGATTATGGAGCGGAAAAGGGCTTTAGTCATGATATCTTCCTCTGTCCAAAATGACTATTCGAAGCGAATCGCGAAGAAGACGACGACCGTTCTTCACCAATGCAGCCGAGGACTAACTGTTCGTCGTTTCCAGAACCATGGTTCGGTTGCACGAACTGGTCGATATCCGGTGATACTCACCTGACATCTCCACGAGTTTAGTATCTTCCCCACATCATAGTGTTTGGTTCAGGGTAGTTATCATCGAACGACCGAAAGCGATATATAGCCACGCCTGGCGTGAGCCAAGTGGCAGCGCCTAGATTTTGCGGCAACCATGGCAACCATGGCAACTATATACAGTATGATCTCCTGACCAATAAGAGTGTCAAAGCCGGGCATGCAGGATCTTGAAGTGCTGTCCTTTGCACCGAGGTCGCCGTGATCGTCCTGTACATTGTTGGGCAGCGGGCAGATGAGACTCGCCGTGCCAAGAGTACCTATGGTAGCAAGTACTATGTATATTGCGATGATCAGGTAGCTGTTCGACGAGGTTCCAAGGAAAATCGGAAAATTTTCAACTCAGACCACTACGCAAAACAGGCTTTTTCTGTCCGACAGGACACTGAGGTCTGGACGTGATCTGGTTGTACGTTCCCCATGGAAGTGGCGTGGACCCTGAAGCCGTTCGTTGCTATCCCCCCGGATTGTGCTCTCCTCGGGAATCTTTGTCGACCGCGGACTGGACCACTCCGCGGACTCCTCCGGTGACCGCGGCCAGAGAATGCGACATCACAATGTACCCCAATGCAGTGATCTATCATGGCACGTAAGATCCGAAACATTGACAACAAACGGCAGCCCTGAAGAACAAAGGTCACCGGTGGTTGGACCAAGGACCCTAGTTTGTTTCTCCTCACCATGGTGACCACCAAGGTCAGAGATAGATAACATACCGAGCCCAAATGCCGCAGTGTTCCGTGAGCTTGGGTTGAGTGGTCTGACGTGATAAAGCGCGCGTCAGGGTTTCAGTAGGATACACGAATGCGGCAGTGCACCTCGGCGGGGTAGGCACATTGTACTAATGTCTCAAAGCGGCCCGAAACATTGGGTTGTTGTTTCGTTTGTTTCCAGCGTTTAGGTTGTACGGAATGAAAGCCGTTGCCATGTACCGCGTGGGGTTTGAGAGCGTCTTTGTTTGCAGAGTGGTCGTGCAGAGGCATGTCTAAATTGCCATGGTACGGGCTGCCGAGACAGCGCAGCGCTGACGACAGAGTTTGTGAAGAATCTCCACAGGTTTACGATGTTGCTTTGCACGTCTCCCGGGCTGTAGTCATGGCGGGAAGTCGTCCGGTGTGCGTGGAGATTCTGGGCCCCAGCCACAGGCTGCGCAAGCACCAGGGGCTGAAGGCTTGGGGCCTAGCCGTGGCGCTGGGCCGTGTAGGACGAAGGACGTCAAAATGCCATACCGGTATCACTGCATGATACAAATCATCCGCGGCGTGGAGCAAACAAAACACCAACAAGAATGTAAGACGCAAACACAAGTGCAGCGGGTAGTCAAAGCAGAAATAGATCTACCGATGCGATTTTTGATCTCTGATGCACTTGTAGGATCTCGATGTTTGTGTCGGCCGATCGCTGCCGCGACGTAGGCGTCCGCGGGGCTGTAACTTTGAATCTTACCTAAGCGTCGCGGATTGCTGCGATCGAAAGCTGCGCAGGGACATCAGAGGACTGAGAGCACTTCGATGCGAGCTAGGCGCTGTTGGGCATATAATACCGGGAAAATAAGCTGTGTAAGATTTAGGTCGGCGAGAGAGGATTGGGCCGCCCAGAAGTCCCGGAAGCAGCGCCGCCCGAGCAGATTGGAGGGACGAGCGCTCCAAGGCTGGGTGAACTGATACAGTAGCGCGGTCCAAGAACGCGTCTGGCCACTGTGGAGTCACTCGCCGCATACCAACGCACCGGACTGCAGGAGCCAATCCGGTGCCCATGTCGGATCTTCGATGCTGAATGGGCGCCAAATTCGCGATCGTGATGAACCCGCGTGCCAGTCTGGTATAACAGCTGTGCCTGCCCGCCCCATGGCCGGCTCTGTCCTACCACTTCCCACAGGTAACAAGTTGCCTACCTCGCCAATATCGACGCAATCCATACCATGATCAACGATTCCACACCCTCACAACCTCTGTGCTACTTCTCGCTGCCCATCACTTCGACGCACTTTTCGACAGAAACTCCCGCCACTACGCCTCTCCAAGCCTACTCCCCGGATATTCTTCCGGACCCATACCACCCGCTACTTGCTTCTCGACGATTCAGTTCTGAACACCCTATGGCGCCCATTGATGCTTCTTCACTGCTCCAACTACAAACATCTGCCGCCTATAGGCCTGCTGCACAACCGCTGCAAAGCGCTTTCTCCTCTCCTTCCAGCGCTTCCAGTACAGCATCCAGCTCCAGCTCAGGCTCCGCCAGCCCTTCCACACTCTGCTGCTGCCGTTGCCGACGCGAATCCAGCGGCGGCAGCATGGTGCAATTCGGCACCAACATCTACTACTGCAGCCACTGCGCGAAGATGACGGGCTACTGCGCAGGATGAAGGGTCTCTTCTCTCGATCAAAAAGTCAAAGCACACCGCGAGTTACACGACTACTCGACAGTCACCGGCATTTCAACCACTATCTCCTTCGCCAAACAAGCCACATGCAGAAGCATGTCACCAGCCGGATGGGCGGTCTCCGCCAGTAAGCAGCACAGTTCTGCAGTCAGGATCATCCGACTCAACGGGCAACTAAATGGAGTTATCAGAGAGGACAGAGGCTATCGCGGGGAAGATGAAGCAGGGCTGTCATCCGGACAGCCATAATGGCAACAAGCAGTCCCCAGCGGACCGAAGACGCAAGTTGTTTGAGCAACACTAGCGCGAAGCGGGTTCTTTTGCGAGTTTGCTACGATTTCTTTAGTTAGATACCAGACAATGATACCCCATACACGGCCTTCGCAAACAAATATTTTGAAGTCCCGATATGACAACGTGAATGCTCGTGTTTGCTCGTATTAATGCCCATGCCGCATCGGTGGCTTTGACATCCACCATGTGGGTCTAGCTCGCTAACAACGGCCGCGAATGCGCGATCCCTTAAGCCTCCGACGATGCTCGGAATACCCCAAGCAGCACCTAGGCTCTGTCGTCTGCAAGTCTTTAGGCGCTGCAAAATCTGTGTTTTTCTTTTCTGCACGCGTGAGCAAGACCTAGTATCTACTAAGGTAATGTCAGGCTTGCATACGCAAAGCGCGCATGCGTATGCGGTCAGGTACCAACAATGGCCCAGGCCGTTCCATCTCTCCACCACTTCCTCCGTGTGGAGATGTTGGTAAACAAAGCAGCTGTTGCCGGGCACAACACTGTTACTCCTCGGAGGACAGCCTTGCGTTTCGCCTTCGACAGCCTCACCATGTCTCTACACACGATAATATGGATTTATTCAAAGTGCATCTCGATGCTCAAAATCGATGTTCGATGTTCTTG